AAGTTCATCTTGAAAAAGTAACTATAATTATCATCATTATAATGGATATTATTATGATCACTGTTAATGTTATTAAGTAATTCATGGTGATAAGAATGTTTTTCATGGTGATTATGATATAATTTATATTAACAATAAACTCAGCCAACTCAGTATTCATTGCTAGCATGATATTACTCTGAGAAACTGAGGTTCATCACCATGAAATGAAACCATTGATGATCAACTGAAAGGATGAAAAAACCAAGTGAAATTGAATCATGTTAACCAATTGGAAAGTTAAATATTAATGTTAACACTCAAATAGGAGGTGAAATGGTGGACCAGGTAAAGGTTGAGGTGGAGAAAAGGTTTAGCAACAATATCTTTTAGTTGAAAATGAAATTAAATCAACACAATCAACAAACATGATTAGAGAATGCGGAAAATAATTGTGAGATCAACACTTTGTCTTATCGTTGGTTCAAAGAACCAGAATTTTTCACTCACCATGTATATTTATTACATGGTTCGAGTATTGAACATGAACCTGATGCTACTGATTATGTTCAGCATTGAATCGGAGTTGTTGAAATTCAACTTAGACTCACAATAAATCATCAATCATTTTCATCACCATCAGAATCATTTACATAAATCTATTAATAGGAAAATATTATTAAATCAACAGTTAATTTTAGCAAATAACAATTTGATCAGAAAAACTTATTCACGATAATAAGAGCCGAGAATGATAAAGATAAATTAGAACTCAATTAGAATTGAAATTGTCTCATGAAATTTAGATAAATCATCAGAATCAATGGTCACTCGTAATTCTGGAAGTTTCAAATTTTGGCTAAAAAAATTATCAGATTATTTTTCTGTAATTTTGATAATCATCATGATCTCTTATCATGTGGAAAATTATATTTCTTTTCATGACAAAAACATTTCAAATTCATTGACTTTCAAGTTTCAGGTGAAAATAAATCAATCAGATTTAGACCAGTGGTCAGTTTAAAACTGGAAGGAAATAAAAAAGAAGAGCAATTTCATAGTGAGAATATTTTTTTCCCCTCTCTTCATTTTCAAAAAGTTTCTCATCAACTCAGAGTAATCAGATACGTGGGGATAAAGATTCCAAGCTTACCTGCTAATGGTGGACACTAAGATGATAAATATCGTTGGTCATTGTCCACTGGGAGAGATGATGGATTTTCGTATCGTAAGTGAAAACTATTAATTTTCAATGTAAGAAATCAGGTTGACTTGATTTAGCTTTTAAAGTGATGATGTTTTCTGTTTGTTTGTTTACTTTTAGATGTTTTTAAATGTTGACTTTTACTTTTACTTCAACTGGTCATCAAGTAAACAAACAACCGGACAAAGAGGGTGTCGGTTATGATACTGGTCAGTTGAACACTTTCACTGGTTAAGTTTGGGTTGATGTTGATATTTTAATCCACTGAAAAACAGCACTGATCCTAATCTTGAGGTTAAGATGATGGTTAAATTGTTTTACACTTGGGAATCAATTTATCAAGATAACTAATCAAGTTTATCTGTTGATATTAACAACAATTTAAACTATTGCTTTGATTGTGATTTCGTATATATATTTTTTTTCATGGGGTTGATGATTGTTAATACACTTATCACACAATCTAGTTGGTTGGTTAAATTAAATTGGTGATGTTAATTTGGTTATCACTTCAATTACTTGGGACACAATTTGACTTTTGATTTGCTTGACTTTTATTATTTGTGACTTTTAGTGATTACGATTATGATTTAATCAGACTAATTGTTTGTTGTTGTTGTTGTTGCTGCTGGTTTTAGATGAAGTTTAATTGTGTTTGTCTGTTAATTGGTGACAATGTTGATTAGATTAATTGAATTGTTTGAGAGACAAAAGATAGATTAAAATGAGAAAAGGTTAATTGAAGGTGATATCTATTGTTAATTGTTGCTAATTGTGATCATTATGTTTTTCAAAAGTCCACATGATAGTAAAAGAATCGATGAGATGAGTAAATGACTCAGAGACAGGGAATGAATACTTTCTGAGAGGAGATAAAATTCTGGAGACCAAATGAAGGAGAAAACAAGTTACTAAAAGAGAGAAAAAGAAAGAAAGAAAATAAACTGAGAAAAGGTAAAATGGAATTGAATTAGAGAGAAGAGAGAGAGAGAGACGATGATGATGATGATAGGAAAGAGAAGATGAAAAGAGACAGAGAAATGTTATGAAGATGAGGAAAGAGATTCTGCGTTCTGAGTTCGAAAAGAAAAAATCGAAAGAAAGTTCGTCTCTTTCTATGTTTCTCTTTCTGGGAGATGAATAAGAAAGAGAAAAGACAGAATGATGATAATGAGATGGAAGAGAAGGGAGAAGATGATAAGGTGGGGTTGCTGAGAAGAAAGTAAACATAACCATGGAACTGAAACTTAGAGTAAGTTACTTAGAACTTCTGAAACAGTGACTAAGCATTGGATGAATTCGAGGGTGGGAGAAAAACGATAAGACGCAAAATGATAAACTCAGGGAGTTTGAACTAAAAATATGATAAAAGGGAGTTAAAGAGAGAGAGAGAGAGAGAGAGAGAGAGTTAATATCAGGAAAGAAAATATTTCTCTCTTTCTTGATTTATCATCTTTCTATTAATTTGGATGAGAATGAGAATAATGATTGGAATCATGATCGATCCATGGACTTTTTTATTCTCAAAATGAGTTCGATATTAGATTCGTATTTATTACCGTTACTTTTTTTCCTTCTTCCTGTTTGATTGAGCCTCCAATAAGTGAAGTCTTTTGTCTTTCTAGACTTTTTCAGTATTTTTCTGGTTCATCTGATCTAGAACTTTATTATCAACATGAATATCATGCAATCATCGAGTCTCACTTTGAGTAGGAAGAAGTAGAACTTTTTTTATATACTTTATTCCTTCATGAGAATAGAAAAAAAAAACTGAACCTCTGATTAAATTCTGAATTCTCTTTACCTTCGTCTCCTTATTTTCCAAGTTAGAATTAAAGAATTTTCTTTACCCTCAATTCAGTTGACATTCGGCTCTCATCTTGTTACTATTATTCAACTGTCAATGATGATAATAATTCTAAAGTAGATGATGATTATTGTTACCACCTTAACCCTTACCTCTCTCACCCACCCACCAATATTCACCCTGAAATCTCAGCATGAAAAGCAGTAGAAACAAACGAACCGGAAATTGAGTAACTGAACTTAAATCAAAAGGTTCGATTTCCGTTTATTGAGCAGAGAAGAAGAAGAAAAAAGCCCAAAGATGAAGATGTCACTGGATGATGAGAGAAAGAAGACAAAGAAGACAAAGAAGATGATCTTCAGTCATCCACTAATTTTCTATTCTCTTCCATCTTCTTCTCTTACATCTTCATCTCCATCTTCATCATCTTCCATTTGATTTCTCAATAAACTTTTCCTTTTTGCTCTTTATTATTTTTCTCTTCTTTTTTTCTTCTTCTCTCAGATGAAATTTTCAATAACTTTTTCTCTTTTCTTTTTTTCCATCATCATGTTTATCAGAATTTGCTGAATCTTCATCCTGAGAGTGTAGAATGATAAAGACAAGTTAGAGAGAGAGAATTTTCTTTTTCTTCATCTTTATCTTGGAATCTTTCAGTCACGTGATATTATCATCAAAATGATGAGGATGCTAAAGGAGTTTTATTAGAGACTTTGAACATTATTACCCCATGGATAAGAAAATAATCCAAAGATCAACGCACTGAGTTGAAACTTTTTTCGCGAAAATTTTCTCTTGCTAATATTTGTATTTACTGAATCAAAATCAGAATGAGATTCATTCATTATCAGTGGGAGGTGGGAGTTGAATCAATCGGTTAATTTTCATCATCATCACTGGTGATTAAGAGCCATCAACCCGGAAATCAAGTTTAAATTGTATTTCCTGGCAAAATAACAACAAAAACAATCATTGTAATGATATTATGTCGATCAACTAAAACACCAAAAGTGATCCTCATGTAAAACGATTACCATTACAATGGAAATATTAAATTACTCATTAATAATTATCTTCTATTACGATCAATATAATAAATTATTAATAGTTGATGAGAACGAGAGAAGAAAAAAGCGCCAATTCGAAAAATTTCAAATTCTTGTCAAAGTTTTTCTCTCTCTTTTCTCATTTTATACAACAATTAATTTAAATTTTTACTGTTCTATTTTAATGACAACAATAATTATCCTTTTATTATTATATTGTAGGTTTAATTATCTACCAATTATCTTGAATATTAATCATAAATATCCAATATGAAAAGTTACGATTGATGATCAATCACCAAGAATTCATTGGATTCTGAATCTATTGACACAATAAAGTATATTAGCCATGAGCTATTATCATCATAACCATCATCATCATCATCATCATGATAACTTAAATGTCACAACCATGTCATCATCATGGTGATAATAATAATTATCATCATCAAACTATTAGCACTAAATCATTGACAAATTTTCTGATTATGATGAAAACTTTTTTCTTGCCCATGATAATAATCATGATTGCGTGTTATTGTCAATCTTATGATTGAATCAATGCAAAAATTACTATCAACAACTACTACTGATTATGTTAATATAAATACAGAACTGGTGGATGAGGATGATTATCAATACATTATCCTGACAGTTAAGGTTTTTAGTAAGTGTTGATAATTTGATTGAGACTAAAATCAGTGCAAACAAATGGTTACTGACAGTTGACATTAAATTGATTGACATAAGTGGCGATATATTGATCATCAATCCCACCTCAACCTCCACCATCAGCTCATATTTGTTTCAATCTAATCATCATTTTTTTTCATATCATATCTCCTTCCCAATAATCATCTGTAAATGATTAACACTAATCAAATCTAGATTTCTAAACAACAACATCAACGATTGTTATCAAGATAATCTTAATCCATAATTGATTGAACTTATATTCAGCTGATTGGTGATGAAGCAATTGTTTTATTTCAATCGATGTTTCAATTGCTTTTATATTAACATTTAAATGTTACAATTAGATTGGTGAGTAAAAAAATGAATCAATATGAAAAATAGAAAGATACAATTACAGGTGATTAAGATTAACTGTTAATCTTTTAATCATCTGTTATTTAAATAGATTGATTTAATTGGTGGTATCCGATAGAAAGCAAATGAATCATCAGCTAAAGATTTAAGTAAACTGTTGGTGTAAACGAATCGATGATTAGTATTAATATGATTGTTCTGGTGGGGTGATGATTTAATTGCTGGGGATTTCTGATAATTCCAGGTAACGTCATGGGAACGGAGAGAGTCCATGATTGGTGGTTGGGGTGATGATGAAGATGAGTAAAGATGATGAGGATGATAGGGATGATGGAGAAGATTATTATTAGATGAATAGATTTGATGTTGAGATGGTTTGGTTTGTTGTCTTGATGTGTGGTGGTGATTATGATGATGTGAGGGTATTGGTGGTGGTAATGGAGGAGGTTGTTGTTGGTGGAGTGGGTGGTAAACTGGACGATGGGGAGAAGATAATTTGGATTAAGATGGACAAACGATTGAGCGCAAAGAGATTGATTCGAATCGTGTCCAGAATATTCAGCTGAACATAATATATTTCCAATTTCTCCACTTCGAGTGTTACTTGTTTCTCTTCTTCCTCTCTGTCTTTTTGATCTTCCACCTCGTAAATGTCTTCCGCCGACAACACCGACCATCGTTTGACCTAAACTTCGTCTCATTGTATCACCTTCACAATCTTCATCGCAATAATCTTCCTCATCTTCAGGTTCACCTGAATCTCCATCTCCATGGATCCATGACAATTTAATCAATTGTTTCGCTTTAGGTGTAAACATCACAAGGAAAACAATTAGTGAATTTATTTGTAATCCAAATCCGATAAATGCATCAGGACCCGAATCTCTTGAAACAAGATAACCAGTAATCCATAAAATCCAGACCAAAATTGAAGATAATCCGGAAATGGTTATGAAAAGTGCCTCACGATAATTTTCCCGATGCCGACGGATACGGAAAGATATTATTGAGACTAATAGAAGGAGTAAAATGTTATAACTCAATGAGTAATAATAAGTATCCGAAGTTGGTGAACTTGAACAAAGTGAATAAGTTGAAATCGACGAAGGTATTTGTTTATTAGAACTCGAATTTGTCGTTGAATGGTCATCAGTTGAATTGGCGGCAATTGAAATTCGTGATTCTGGATTGATGGAAGCAGATAATGAAGATGATACCGATGATGATGACGGAATTGTAGATGAGCTGAAAAAAAGGTCAAATGTTGGCCAGAATTTAAAGTTATCCCATGAGCCAGAAGCGAGGATACCTTGAATGCTAAGAATGACCTGAGTGGACATGATGAAAAAAAGAAGCAAAAATTGGTAAAGAAGTGGAAGATAAGTTCCAGAGTGAAGACTGAGGAGGAAAATGCTCTTGACCAGAAGAGTACCAAAGATTAGGGAATAACCTAAGCCCAAACCCGCTGTGGTCAGTGTACAGATGAAGGTGGTCGGTGAGAGAAGGGTAAAGTACCCATGGAGGGAGGTGAGGAAAAGCGCTAAAAGTAAAGTTTGACCGAGAAAAAGTTGCGGTGGTTTTGAGGTTTTCCGATGGACACGAAAAATGACCAATGATTCAAGTAAAAGGATTAACAGAATATTAATCGAGGCTAAAGATAATAATGGGATAACCCATGATTCTGATCTTAAAGTTAATCCCAATGAAGGTATTGGTATCCATACTGGTGAAGATATTGATCCGTTAACTGAATCACTTAAATTATGATTACTGTTTATGTCACTTGTTATATTGATTGGGATCATTGATTTACTTTTATTCCAATCATCAATCATTTTTGAATTCACTGATTGTTGTCCAGTTATTGGTGATGATGATGAGTTAATTGCTGATGATGTTAGATAATTAATTAGATCAGCTTTGGTCCGAGATAAATTGGTTGACTGATGTAAACATTGACCATTAGCACATGGATATAACTGTAAATCAAATATATTAGTTGATGACATTTGGGAATGATATTGATTCCCGATTGCCAATTAATTGTATCAACTATTATCAACAATTAACTTTGTTATAACTTGATATTCATTTAATGAAACACAAACTTGTTAATCCAAATATTAAAGTTGATTAGGATGATGAAGCCAATTGGAAAACAATTACAACATGATGATGATGATGATGAAAACGATGATGATTTTGTTGACAGTAAATGAAGTGATAATTTATATGTGGAAGAAGATGGAAAAAATTTTACCTGTAAATAGTAAAACAGGTAAGAGATGTGATTTGAACCAATGGAGAAAAAATTGAGAAAAGAATATTTTTTTTTTCTTCTTCTCACCTTGATGTTTTTTCCTCTATTAAAGTAAAGAGTATTGTTTAAGATGAAAATGATGATAAAGATGAAGATGAGGATGGAGAAAAAGTTGTCAGATAACCTTGCATCTTCTCACCTCTACAAACATTTGGGTAATAACAGGTAAGTTGCAATCGGACTTGACCAGCCCAAGGGTCAGTAACTTGTACCTAACGAACTGAACAACGGATCAACAAAGACTGAAATTTTTGCCTCAACTTTTCAGCGAAATGAGAGAGAGAGAGAGAGAGAGAGAAGAGGGAGAATGAGAGAGAAACTACTTGCAGCTCCTTCACCTAACATTCAATTTCTTTTATTTTTCAAGAAGAAGATGGAAGATAAGAGAAGAGAGAGAGAGAAAACTCTTTTCTTTCATTATCTTCCCTTCTCAGTTAGGGGTATCTTGTCTTCTTGTGCTTTTTCTGTTACCTGATCAACTCTTTCACCATGGAAATGATCAAATTATCGTAGATATTAGATTGATAATTATCATCAGTAACTCTGTGGTTCTAGTTAATATTTTTCCTTTCCACTTACCAGGTAAAAAGCCATAGGCGGGCCCATAGTTTTTGAAAATTTTGCATCTCTTAGTTTTTGTTTGTTCCTTCATCTTCAAGATACATCAACTATTTTCCCTCCTCCTTTAGCATCTCTACCTTTACCTCTATGACCGAGGTGAAAGTAACTCTCCACCCCAACTCATCTCTTTCTCTCTCTCTAACCTTTATTCTAACCCTCAACTCCCTTTATTTTGCCTCAGGGAGTTATGCTTTTACTTGGTTTCATGCTTGTTACCTTGCTTTTTATACTTTTTTCATATAAAAAGCATCTCAATACATTTTCCTCTATTCATCTTCATCTTCAAGATATTTTCTCTCTCTCTCTCTCTCTCTCTCTCTTAATCATCTTCTTCTCTACAACTTTCTTTATTTTTCTTTTCAACTTGTAGCTTTCATCTTCTTACCCAAATTAAACACTCTGTATAATACCAATGGCTATTTGTTGATAGCCATCAGTAAGAAAAAGCAAAAACCTTTTGTTATCTTTTTGTTGGTCAACAAGATTAGAGGAGTTGATACAGTTTTACTTTTTCTTTCCCTGTACTTATTAGTTATAAGCAACTCGAGTCTCTGGTCAACGATTCAGTAATTGTTACACAGGTCAAGGTAATAATAGTTGTCTGGGGTAAAAAAAATTGCAAAATATATGCAATTGACTTCGCAATCAAATTGTATTGATTGTTCAATGTGTGTGTGAGTATATTAATAACCACGATGAAAACGATTCATTTGTAATCATAATTGTAGGTTATCATCAATACGATGGATTGAGGTTGATATTATACTAATTGTAAAGGTCATTTTACATTTTTAACCTTTGAGAAAAGGTGATTACAGTGAAGACGATTATGATAATGAGTGACCAGAGGTAAAGATGATGGAGATAAGTTAGAAAATAAAATCTACAGCTAATAAGATGATAGAGATAAAGATGATGATAAGGTGAGTCTAGTTTCTCACTTTTTTTGCTTGGAAACGTTGAAGAAACAAGGTTAACATGGTAAGTGAATTAGAATCTGTGTTGAAATTATCATTTTTTACTTCTTGACTCTCATCACCTTCATCATCATCATCTTCCTCTTGTATGTTATATGAAATTTCCACTTTTCAATTTTCTCTGAAAGTATAATCACCTAATTTCACCCTGATTATCCTGACATATTTACCTTGAGTTTTTGAAAGTCATCAATGAACTGGTAATACGATCTGATAGCCAACTGAGTTTGGTAAATATTGAAAAAACTTTCGAGGGTTGATTAAGTTTGGTGATATTTTTACCTTCCGATTTGGGCTAATTGAATGGACTAGATAAATTTCTGGTGAAAGTTTAAAGGTTGAAGTTCATGTAAGTTGATGTTGAGATAATCTGATAATCTTATGGTATTAGAAGGAAAAAATTTCGATTGTTTTTTTTTCTCTCTGTACCTACAAACTTTTCACAGATAATCATATGTTCAGGTAAGTGAATCAGAATCAGGAAAAGTAAATGCATCAATAATAATACGATATATACATCATGGTATTGATGTTATATCTTTGAATGGAGGATGAAAAAAAACTGTTATCTAAGTGAAATGGTTTCAGTTTCAGAGATGAGGTTATCAATCAAAGTTATCACCATGAGTGAGAGAGAGAGATGAAAACTTTTTCATTTTATGTTCAACACTGAATTCAGTTAATCTCATAGGATTAAGCTCAAGTGAGAGCTCTAATATTACACCTGAGTTGGGAGGTAAAGGAAGAGTAGGTTATTCTGGAAGATAAAACATAGAAAAAGGATTTATCATGATGATGGAAAAGAAAAATTTGAAAATTTCATCGAAAATCTTCCATGGTTTCCATGAATTTACAGCCAATACTATTCACAGAACGATGAACATGAGATTATCATAATAATCTTTCATATTAATAATATCAACTAGAAATAACTTTGTATCAACATCTTTTTTTATTCATGAACTTTCATGATGATGACTTACAAATAATATCAGAATACAGAGATAATATCAGAGATGATATGAATTCACCCTGATAGAAATGCGGAAAATTTTAATATCATCTTAATACCCAAAGGATCTTGTTGGCCAAGTAAATTGGTCAACAAGTATAAACTGAAATCAAATCAATATCAATCATTGCGACAATGTCCAGTCTTGACCTTTAATTCAATGAAAAGTTATCAACAAAATTTATCATCCACTGATTGTTACGTGAGTATTAATATAATCACTTTTTTAAAAATTCTGATTCAAAATGATTAGCAAACAATCAAGTCTCACAATTTATTTTTCTATCATACAATCATTTGAATTACAATCAACCTTTGATTGCAACGGTTTTGAAGCTGCAAGAGAAACTTGTAAACAGTTTCAATCCTGATGATTGACAATTTGATTGATAAAATCACGCAATCAACTAATTCACTTCAAATTGACACTTAATTATAATCCAAAGTGATTAAAAACAAACCTCTTACCAATCGCGTTAACATTATTAATATATTACAATGTAAATAATGATGAGTATCAAATTGTTATCACTTGATAATCCAATACAATTAACACAATTAACTTTAAACACTTTTAGATGAGGAAAACATGAAAATATTCACAATTTGTAAATCAACAGTTAATTTCAAGGTAAAAAAGTTTCAGTAATCATCAGTTTCTCATCACCATCATGCAACAACAATCAACATGATGATGATAAATTCAAAAGTTGAATGAAGAAAATAACTTGTTGATGGCTATCGATTTGATTAATTTGATTGTAGTTTTGATTGTTACACTAAATTATACAATGGAACGCGAAACGGGAAAAATTAAATAGCATTAGAGTTAAATCATAATGTTTACTATTAATCAATGGAATTAAATTGAAAGGTGAAAATAATTTCTCTCCGATTCTATCACAATAACCACCACCTAGAAAACCTGAATAAGTTTGTTACCTGTAAATGAACATCAACCATTAACCATCATCAAGATCCACTGACCACCCTGAGTGAGATCGCTGACCGATTCGTGATGGACAAGAAAAAAAAAAAAAGATTCATTTTTTCCCTGGTAAATGATTGACAGATGATAGAAAAGACTTTATCATCATCAGAAAATTATGAAGATAATGATGATGAAATGCTCTCTCTCTCTCTCTATCTAAATACCCGAATGTGATAGCCTTTGGTCAATCAAATGTAAGTTTAGAAAAATATTTGTTCATTCACTTTTCATGTAACCATTTTAAAATCTCATGTTTTTCATGGATAAAAAATGATTCGGTGAACAATGAAATTTAATCATCATCTTCCTCCTCCTACATCACCACTTTATCATCATCATCATCCTCTCATCCTACCTTGTTGCTCTCAAGAAAAACAGCAACAAATAATCACCAGAAAAAAGATATTACGAAAAATATTAATAGAAGAACAAAAAATTTTCTCTTCTAATTCGTGTTTTTTTTCATTCTTTTTAAGAACTTTCTCTCTCTCTCTCAATCTCACTCTCTCTCTACCTTTTATTGTCCCTTCTCCACCCACTCGATTACCTTAATTTTTCCCATTAATCAATTAACTGTAGTAGTTTTTTTTTCTTCCGTCAAATTATCACAATGGTAACTACCTGGTTACCTTAAGTATCTACTTAGATATTTACATGGATTCGAACAAGAATTTTTTTCTTTCTTATTAATACAATCATTTGATTTTCTCATTATTTTCATTCACAATTAACCTTTAACCGTTACACTCGTTGATTACTTTGCATCTGAATGATAATTAATCTAATCGTCTGGGTTACTTGGTGGTAACAATTAGCTAAATGGTAACAATTGAGATCTGTTTATAAATTATGGCAGCATTTATATTCATTAATATCAAAAGTAATTGAAGTTTTTTTTTTCCTCTCTCGTAATTGTTAACCATTGAGATAATTACAATGTAATTGTTTTTTAAGTTTAATTGTGTTGGATTTTGTTGTTGTTTTCATGATTAACTAATTGACCAGAAACAATTGAAATTCAACAGAACATGATTACATCTCTATTGTGATTTATATGTGCACTTGAAATTTAGCTCAGAGTTTGACCTTAATTTCAAGATAAATGAGTTTTGTCTTGATTGATTGAATCATTAGATTGATTAGTTTTAATTGTTATGAGAATTAGTCATTTATCTCATTGAAATTTCATAATTATTATTATTCTAAAAGGAAGACAATTCTCTCTCTTTACTCTGTCTTTTATATCTGATAATGAATTTTTCTATTACTTTCACAATGATGTTTCCATTGGTCATTAAGGGTCATCTCATCATAGATTATGAGTCTTCATTTACCATGTTTGTCACGATGATGATGATGATGAACTTATTGAATCTCATGATCGTTATTAAATTTTAATGATTGTTGGTAGAGTTGAGATAATGATCGCTCAGTGTAATCTGAATATCATTAGAACCAAATGAGAAAAAGTTCCGAGTGTAAACTTTCAAGTCCAATAGTCCAAGAGATTGATTCGAGTTTGATATCGATAAACTCAATGATAATGATTGAGATTCGAAAAAAGAAAATGAAAAAGAAAAAGTAATTCTGAAAATCGTTTCTTTCTCCTTCAATTTAATGATAATGACCACTGGTCATCTGAGCGTCTTCAATGTTTAATTAGTTGATTCCATGAAAAGTGATCACATTTTATTAGGTCAATGATGCTGAGGTGGGTGGTGAATGAACCACCCACACCTTTGAATCATTTCATGATTGTATTCATCTTGCAATCAAGTTTAATTGTTATTAATTGTTACCATTTAACTGAAAATAAATGGTAAATACTATAACCTGATTCATGATCAGAATGTAAATTTTGATTCTTGATTCAATCATGTAATTTGCTCCCCCATGCAAACACATTATTCAGTCCTAATCATATTTAAATTGAGTTTCCATGAGATGTTATTTATCATCATGATGATTGTTAAATATCATCATTTGATAATATCATTAATTTAAATTGCAAATTGTTGTCAAATCTTCATTTCAATTGAATTGTTAATTCTGGTCTACAGGTAAATACACTGAGAAAGGTGAGAGTGTCAATAAGATGAGTCAACTTTTTGTTTTCCTCAATCATTTATATTGATACAAATTGAATATTTTCCAAGGATAAAGGATGAAGATATTGCAAACATATTCCTATCATCATCATCTTTGCATAATAATAATACAGGTAAGTCATGCAAACGATAAACCATAAAGATGAAGATAAATACATTGATAATGTTTATCTATCATCTTTGTTGTTTTTTATTGTTTTTCTTTTGTTGTTTGTTTACCTGGTTACTTTTATTGGATAACATGACATTGCCTGCAAGCGAAATTGAATAAATTAAATAATGCTGACAATGAACTGCGAGAAATATTCAATTCAATTTCAATGATAAACAAACTATCAGAATGGTGATGCTGATGGTTTTGGTCATGGGAAGATATTGAAAGTTCATTTTCAAGGTAGATTGTTACAGAAAACGGAACATCGGAAAATGTATATGAACTTTGATACTTTTCAGGATAATTTGATGGAGATGATGAAAAGATGAAGCTGAATCATAGCGAAATGATCAATGAGAGTTTATTATATAATATTTGAGAGAGAGAGAGAGATGTTGATAAATAGGTTAGAAATTGACAGAACTTTTCTCTCTCATTTTCTGTTGCTCCTTTATTACCATTGAACTATCAACACCATCATGAATATTCAGAGCATTAGATGGATGAAAAGGATGAAAGAGATGATTGAAAATGAGAATACTATTCAATTCTATGCTTCTGCTATTCTCATATCATGTGAGAAATAAATACATGGAAATTGATATGAACTCTTGTGAATTTGCAATTGATTAGAAAAGATGATGATGAAGATGATAAGGTCAATGTCGAAAAAAGAGCCAAAGAGATGAGAAAAAAAGTTCTGGTTACCCTGTAATTCAGAATGAAAATTGTTCATCATCAGGTTTCCATCATCAAGTAACAACAACAGATGACCAGTTACAATCAATCAAATTATATACCTTTTGGTCAGCAATGATGATGAAAGGAAAGCTTTTTTTTCATTTGATGAAAAAAAAATCGAAACGCAAAAAGTAAACATCAATTCTGTGCTTTTGCAATTTCATCTTCAAATAATGATGATGATTAAATGATGAAGATGATGATAAGTTTATCATCCTAAGTATATACCTTGTAACTCCCTCACTCACATACAATTATCATCAATATCATCCCTCACCCTGAAATAGTGTGAGTGAGTGAGAGAGAGACTCAATCTATTCAGAACTTTTTTTTATCAATGTTACTCTGTTTCAGAAAATAACCGGAAATAGTATTTTTTTATTGGCTTTGTTTTTATCTTTTCCTGATAAAATATAAGATAATCAAATGGTGTAATAAAAAAAGGTTGTAATATGATTAGGAGATTGATACGAGAAGGTAACAATCAATAAATTGTTGATGAACTCGATGGTTAAGGTTGAATGAGTGATGGAAATGAATTCTCATTGTAGTAACACAGAGGAGGCTCTTTGTTGACACTTTACCAAAACCTAATGAGGTTTGGTGACCTGAGGATCTTAAATCATCATCATCATCATCATCAACATCTTCATTTTCATCTTCATCTTTTCAGTCTGAATGTATATTCAAAGTATGATTGTGATAACTTCCTTGCCGGAAGTTATTCATCAGATGAAAATCATTTCTGATGCAAGGATGTCACTTACAGATGATCCAATCATCACCCTGAACATGATGATCATGTTTCAATTAACCCTGTAAATCATAATCATCACTTTAATCATAATTTTTAATAATCATATCGCTGGTTAACTGGTTTTATTGATTGTGGGTGGATTTAGATTATCATGAAAACAGGTAATCATCATGATCGCAAATGAATAGTTCATGTGTTCAAGACAAGGAAAAAAAGTTCTCATTCCTTAATCATCATCAACATCCGATCATCTAAATTGAGTTTATTTTAATCACGATGTGATGACAGTTAATCAGTTGGTCTAATCACTGTTGTTGGTTTGATGAATATCAATCTAATTAATTTTGATTCTGTTAATTGTAATTAAGAGAAGATGAAGAAAAAAAAATGATTTTCAGAACATAAATGGGCTGGAAATTAATTAATTTCTCATATGATGATTAGTTTTTCCTTAATTTAGTTTGATTACTTTGATTATAATCAATGGAGAAAGTTAATTTGAAACTAAATTAATTCTCTTATATATGAATAATAATTTAATTGCCTCAGGTAATTTACTAATCATTAACATCTTACTCTTCAATAAGTTTCATTTTCTAATCGAGTTAATCAATGTTTTAATTGTTCAAAATGATCAAATTCAAAGTTGAAATCAATTTATTAATCAAAGAGGAGACATTAAATTGTTTGAAATTCAGTTGGAATTGGAAACAATTTAAAATCATCAATTGAATTTTAAATTGTTACTCTTGCAATTTAAGATTTTCATGTTTTCCCAATGATTCCTAATCAAAACTTTAAAATGTTTAAACAACAATTAACTAATCATCGTATAGATGATGATTATAATGGTAGAGAAAAATAAATATAATTAATGATCTTTTAATTCATCCCAATGGGAATCCATTTAAATTAGATGATTATTATATTAGTGATGAGGATAAATGGGTCAGAGATGATTAAATAGCCTCAGGCTAAATCTTTGGATCAACTTTTCAATTCTAATGATTTGATTCTGGATAAATGTTAATCCACATAGATGATAATCTAGTTTACCTGGTTAATTATATGTTACAACGGAAAACTAGTAAGTAAATTTAACGTTGATTAGCTTAATTGTTACAATTGTTTCATCGTAAATCAATTGATGGTTATTTTTGATTCTCAAACAATTAGGCCAAGGTTTGTAATTTAAGTTAATCAAATCGATTGGATTTCAATTGAATCAGCATCTTTTTCAGTTGTTCAATTGCAAGGTTACAATTAATTAGATTAAAATATAATTACAATCAATTGGCAGAATCTAATTGCGATTAACTATTGACAATTTATATAAATGTAAACTACTATCAACATTTAATTGTTTATACAATTAACTCGAGTATCGAATCAGTTGTCTTTATTTTCCTCTTTCAACTTAATTGTTAACAATTAACTTTATCAACGTAATACACTTAAGATCAATCTAATTGTTGAAGATTAATTTTAATCTATTGTTAAGATGTTTAATCCAGTAAAAAAAAAACTCCTAATTAATTACCTAACAAGTTAAATGTTGAGATAAGTCAGAACACAAGGAATTAAGTTAATTGTGTTAATACAAATTGCGAAAAAAAAGTTTCAATTGCAATAACAATTAAGAGGTAAATTGATTATCCATGTTAACTGTTAACTAAATTATATTGTCATTAAGTTGCATTGGTAATTGTGATTAACCAGAAACCGTGATTAAAATAACAATCAAGAGAAAGTTTCTTAAATTGTTGATGATTAATTTTAAAAACATGATCATTATAATCACCGGATTGAACCTTATCAAATTAACTAACAATTTAAGAAGATGTTTAATCAATGGTCAATTTATTTACTAACCAGTGAGTTAATTTAATCTCTGGCCCATTGATTAAAATTACGAGAAAAAAAACTTGAAAATATGAATTAACTTTTCTTAATCTCAATAGAGAGGAAAAAATCAAGTTAATCGTAATCATCATCATCACAATTTACTAAATCCTAATCTCAACCTCTAAATGAGATTAAATTAAAATGGTTGGAAAAAACTGTTTACTAATCAAAGATTAAAAAGGAGACTAAGTCCCAGAGAAATTAAATTAATGATGGATCAACATGATCAATCAGACAAAAAAGTTCATTATTACCTTTTCCATGTTGATTATCATTCTACATGTGAGAGAGAGAGAGAGGAGAGATGCTACTCTCACATCATCTTCTTCATCCTCATCATCTGTTGGCCTCACCTATTGGGCCTCAGCAATTGAAAAACAGAAACAAACTCAAAATGATTGAGTTATTTCATATTAAACCGATGGGATAAAATTACATTGATAATATTAAATAACGAAAAGGAAGATAAATGAAAGATGAGGATGATAACCAGTTTTTTCCCCGAGAATCGAATATTTTTTTTTCTCTAATATTTTCTCTCTTCTTGTTTCTCCATCTTCATCTTTTCTCCTTCTACATTTTCAGGTTCATTTCTTTTTCTTTGTCCAATTTTCTTGCTCAATTGTCTCTCTCTCTCTCTTTCTCTGGAAATCCCCTGGAAATCATGGGAAAAGATCAACCAATTCACTTTCTTAACTGGTTGATTAGCTCCAACGCTATGGACACATTATTAACTTAGATTAGTTAAATCGTAATTGATTTAATCATCGTTAATATTATTGTTTCTTATCGGTGAATTGGTGAAAAATATCAACCATAAGAAAACAATTGTTAATTAGAAATACAGTTTCGGATAAATAGTAACAATTTGATTGAACAAAAATATAGAGATAATCTCATGGTGATGATTTAAGATGATTGTTGTGATGTTGATGCTTTCGATGGAGTTGATTTAGTTGATCCTCGATTAGCATTTAGACCTTTCCAAGTGACTTTTTTTTTCCTTTTCGCTGTTTTCGCTTGATCAAGATTCACTTTCTGTCGCAGTATTTTCAACGCTTTTCGATATGGCTTTTTAAGTGCGGTCAACTTTTTTGATTCAATGTTCATCTTGATCACTTTCTCTTTGATTAAATCTTTGGGATGAATTTTCCTCATCATGACGTGAAATTTTCCAACCTGATCGGTCGCTAGAATGGTTATCGCTGTACCAGGTCGACCAGCACGAGCGGTTCGACCAACTCTGTGAACGTAATAAATATCATTAAAGGGAACATCATAAGATATTACATAATCAATTCCATCAATGTCAATCCCTCGGGTCATTATATCGGTGGCGATGATTATATCATAAGCTCCATTTTGAAATTTCGCTAAAACTTTGTTTCGATCAGAGTCCGACATTTTAGATGAGAATTGGTATACATTAAGATTGGGAATATTTTTCATCAGTCCGGCTAAAAGTTGAGCTCTTTTAATTGTACTGGTGAAACAAAGGACTCGCCGATATTTTAAATCGTTCATCATGTGCCATAGAACCAGAGGTTTGTTCATTGCTTGAACGATTACAAATTTCTCCACTAATTGTTGAGGTAAAATATTCTTTGTCATCATTAGGACATCTTGTTCATTTAGTGTCACGCGAGATTGACCTTGACCATCGATGGTTGGTTTTACAGTTGATTCGGTTGCCATTAATAAGATCGGTTTGAAAAGGTTCAACAGGAATAAATTGTCAACATCTTTTGCCAATGTCGCTGAAAAGATCAACTTAATGTAGGGCTGCCATAGGGAAGAGTAATTTGTTAAATTGCAACCAGAGACGAGGCTTAAACAACCACGATTAGAATTTGATGAAATTAATGTTGATCCATCACCGACGGGTTTACAACAGGGACAAGGTACACGATTCTGTTTACCATAAACGGCTTTGTCAATCTCTTCAAGCCAATTATATTCAATGTCAAAATCTAATATCCGGTCAACCTCATCTAGAACTAAAATTTGAAGAGATGAGAGATTGAAACCTGGACAACTGTGGATTAAATCAATTAGACGACTGGGTGTGGTAACTAGAATATCGATTAACCATTTATAGACTCCTGGGGTCACTTCTTTAACAATACTGTTCATATCTTCGGTAAATGATCTTTGACCAACAGAAAGTGAAGCTTTAAGTCCGAGTGGTGAAGCAAAATCTTCAAGAACTTTGAACACTTGACAGGCTAAATCACGAACTGGTAAGATAATTATACTTCTCAATTTAATCTCAACACGATTAGCAAGTGATTGAATAATTGGTATAATAAAGGCTAATGTTTTCCCTGATCCGGTTGGTGAGGAAACACAAACATCACGACCTCGGTGATAATTGTTACCCCTTAGTGAGTCAAGAATAACCGGAATTGATGTTTTCTGTACTGGAAAGAAAAATTGTAACCTTGAACGACAAATTTCCAACACTTTACCATCCAAAAGGTCAGTTAAACAATCAATTTGACAATTTGAATCATTACAATTAAAATCTTTGGCAAAAGGTATGAAACTCTGAAACCATTTAGGAACAGGAGCTTGTAACCGATGGCGAACTGATTTCTTTACCTTACCAATAACAGGGAATAATTTCTCATCAGCTTTACCATTCTTTTCACCTTCATCAACACAATTCTCTGAATCCAATTTAATAGACATAATTAACAGTAAATTGTAACAATTAACGAACAACAGTTAAAGAGAAACAAATTAAATTTTTAAATCTTTTCTTGTTTTCAAAAGACAATCACATGGTCCAAACAACCATGTGTTCGTCCATAGAAAGTGTCGCCATCTGTTGGTTCTTTTAAGAGATAAAATAATTTCTCTTTTTGAATGCAAAATTTTAATCGAGAAAATGAATTTCAATTAGTTGATTGTTATCTAGATTTATCGTTGATTTTTGAAATGATTGATTTCGAAAATGATTTATGATAAATGATAACAATGGACTTTTTAAATGATTTCTTTCAGTGGATTTGTTTTACATTTTTTTCTAAACTTGAGAAAAGTTTGTTTCCTCTAAAATGGATTTTTAGGTTAATCAGTTGATTGTTAATTAATATCGTATCTTTTTATATTCTACTGAAGCAAGTTGACGAATATTTTCATCTTCATGATCATGAATTAAATTTTTTGCTTCTCGTCTTGTTAAATCACCGATTGAGCTCATGATTGAATCTTCAATCATTTCGGTTTGTCCGATAATCTTTTCAAAGAATTCATATTCGGATTTCCTAACACCGGGAGTGGTTTGATTAACGAAATAACCAGAATCTGATAGAAGACAATTTTGAAGAACCTTATGATAAATGAGTCGATCACCATGGTCGCCATTTAATTTGGGTGGTTTAACTCCCGCAGACGAGATCCAAAGGAATCGAGATTTAATTTGATTATAAGGTAATTCCAATACTTGACAAGCGCGTACAAGAGGATGAGGCTCGGGAAATGGATCATCCTGATCAACAATTAGAAATTGAAAGAATGTTATTAAAGAGATTGAATAAAGTAATTAACGGAAATTAACAGTTACCTCTCTCTCCATGAGCCAGGGCATTATTCTGAACTGAATATAACTGTATTTCTTTGTGAATTGTTCCCAATCCTGAAGAAACCAACCATAGGGAGATTCACGAAAAATGAAAAATCTATCAAGATTATTGATAAATCCGAATTGTGAAAATTTCTCCAATCGTTTCTTCATCAAATCAACATCAATAAACAGTAAATCAGGGGCAACATCCAATAGAGTTTTGTTAATTGTTACTGATTGATTGGCCAGTTGAAAATCTCTCTCGTAATGAGTTGCAGTGGAAATATTTTCCATCCAAAATGAATAAACTTCCGAGAGTTTATCTTGATTAAATTCAATTCCATTGGTAGCACAATGTTTCCTTAATCTGTTCAATTGTTTCGTATTAAATTGTAAAGGTAAAGTTCTAACAATTAAATCAAAATAACAAAAAAAAACAAAGTCAATTATAAATAAACGATTCAAATCAAATGTCAACAAAAAGGCAAAACAATCAACATTATGATTAAATTCAATTCGAATCCACTTACTTGGTTAGACTTTTAAGACTCATTTCGAGGCACAATTAATGAACAATTAGATTAACATTTAATAGAAAATACTTTTAATCAATTGGACTTAAATTCAATCATAATTAACAACAATCAACAAAACGTTTTGTTTTGTTTTGTTTTGAGAGTCACATGTAAGTATCGATACTTTTTGTATCGATATTGGACTCGGATTAAATTGCGAGTTGTTAATTGTGATTAGTTTTAAATTGTTTTTTCGTTTCATTGTTTGTATGGTAATTAAATAGAAAATGTTAATATACATAATTAGATGATTGTAACAAAAATAAATTAGTTTGGTGGGATTTCAAGTTGAATTGTGAGTTGGTTGTAAGTATTGTTGTAAATGCGATTAGATGATTAAGTTAATTAATAAAGAGTAAAATTAATGAGATTGAAAACAATTAAATTTGTGTATATTGATCAACTGGAAGATGATGATAAATTTTTTTGATGCTTAGAGAGTTAATTTGTCAATTTAAAATAATATTCCAAGAATGATTAATGTTTGAAAGTAAAATTGAGTTGATTTGGTTAATTGGTTTGATTGTTATGAGATGAAATCAAAGTAATCGATATCGACACTCATTTGAATTGCAGAAACACCGGATCATTTTACCCTCCACCGAACCAATTTCGTAGTTATAGTCCCAAGTTAATTCGCTAAATGCTGGGATAAATTTGTCGGCAAAAAAAGCGACCCAAGGGAATCGTAAATCGTGAGTGTCAACGAAAACACTTTGAGCGAAACAATTAGGCGAACATGAGTGATTAAGGAAACGACCAACATTCCCATATCTCGCAGCATCAAGAGTGTAACCAAAATTTTCCTCGAACATGGTTCGTATCGATTTGTATTTAATCAAGGAATCAGATTGATTACTAGATGAATCATATTTGTAACTTTTCCCATTGGAATTACTATTAACACAATTATTGCCTCCAGCCGGTTGATTAGTACCATTGGACTTTTTATTGTTCTGATTGTTTGAATGAGATTTATTTTTCCGTTTCGATTTAACTTGAACCGAGGAAAATGATTCATCCGATTCGTGATCATCCACCTCGTAAATATCATCGTCATCATCATCAGAATTTTCATCGCTTGAAATTTCCTCCAACGGTGCGTCCTCGTAGTTTTCCTTGGCCGTTTCACAAACATCGATAAAATCTAAATCAGCGAGATATTCATCACCGAAAACGGTTGCGTTTCGATTGGCTTCATGTTCGGTCATTACTTCACCGGCATAGGTACAGATGAAAGTTCCCGCTGGAATATCGTGAAGAGATCGGACACCCCAACCTCGAGAAACGGTCTTGAAAATTTGAAGACGAACTTTGATTCCATTTTGGACAACTTTGTTTCGGCAAGTTTCGTTACAGGAACAGTAGGGATTACATTCGTAAACACCGGTGACCAGAAATTTTTTCAATCGCTGGTAAGAGTAACCAGCTGATAAATCTTTCCGCCTTCCGGGAAGTGATTGAGTCGCTTCAATGGTTAACCTTTGACATGCACACGCTGAACGATTACGGCAACCATCAGTACAATCACATCGAATTAGGAAAGATGGATCCAAGGGTATATCGACACTACGACCTTCATATCGATTTGGAATGTAACAGAAATCAGGTGGAAATTGAGCATTATCACAGGTATTTACAGCCGATATTTTTTTCATCTCCCGACCATTGGTGATGTCATTTTCGAGCCAATTACACCTTAACGGTGTCGCCGAGCTCTCACTGAACAGTGAAACATAAGGTTCGAAGGTGAAATAGTCAACCGATATTGGACATCGAGTCATTGCAAGATATTCATCTAGTTCACCGATGGTTCGTAATCGACGTCCACATGGACCAACATAGATAATTTCCTTTGCAGAGACTGATTGTTTATTCTGTTCGATTTTCATCTTAGCGATTACCGTTTGTCGCTGCCAACCAAGAATAATCGGAATTGCATAAGGTATTTCCTCACTGAATATACTTGATTGATGGTCAATCACTGTAATAGGGATACAAAGTGGACCACAAATATGAGGGGTAAAAGTTTTCGTCTCAATTAAAATGTTGGGTCGCCGAGTGATTTGAAAAGTTTGTATCGAGTCCATACAAAATCTAGGAAACGATTGACCACCATTAGAATTAGAATTGACCGCAGAATTAATCAATTGAAGAGTAACCGGATGATTAACGGCGAGACTTTTACGAGCAATTTGTAACCTTCTTTTACCATAAAATGAGTGACCAGTTCCATTTACATGGTCCATGCAATTAGAAGATGAAGGTTTGTCGAGATTGGAAAACATTATTGCACCTAAACAATAAGAGGGTAGAAAATATAATAGAATAGAATAAAAAAAAGTTCTTTTCTTTTTCTATTACCATTATTGATATGAGACTCTCCATTTCGTTCAATTGAATCAGTTGATTTACTTTCTTTCCTTTCATCGCCATTTTCCTCTTGTAAGAATCTGAAGAAAAAAATAATTTAAGTTTAGTCAATATGAGAAAAGGAATAGAAATCAACTAATAATTTCTAACCTAACGATGATATATTGAATATCGTTCTTCATGGCATCAACGAAAGTGTTGAATTTAATTAGTGTCGAGTCAATGTTACGAAAATCAGTTTCCAATTTAGCCAAAGAATCATCAAAACCTATGGAACCATTAATTTGATTTGATTGGCAAATCTTATTCATAGATTTCGATATACATTTATCAATGAACGAAGCGAAAATATTTCCAAAGTCCCCCATGATTGGACTACCAATCTAATTAGAGAGAAGATCAAATTGAAAGTAGACAATTAATAAGATGGTTGTAAATCAGATTAAATTAGAAGATACAAATTGTCAACATGAGAAAGAGAGGGAAACACATTAAGGTAAACAAGCGACTTACCAAATCAACTGAATGGTCTACCTAATTGTAGTTCTAATTAACTGAAGAACATGATTATCACAGTGTAACAATTAAAAGCCAATCGCACATTTATCACGATTAAATTAAAGATTCCAACAATAATTAAAAACAATTCCTTCGGTGGTTAATCTGTCAAAAGAAACAATGGAAAATAAGATCACCATTAGATCACTTTCAAGAGTCACAAATTGATTATTATCATTTAGAAATTGTTGTCAACTACTTACTTTCGAGTGATTAATCAAATTAAATGACAATTAAAATTAATAAAAGTAATCAAATGATTAGAATCAACCAAATCATAAGAGTAAACAAATAAAATTGTGACCAAAACATCAACAGGAATGAAAATAATTCACTTGTGAGGTAACATAGTTTTTAAAAAGATGGCGTTAGATTTAATTACTTGAGACAATTGATTACAATTAAATATTGCTCCAATTAACGTGGGACCATGTTAATTGTTAAAAGAAACAATTAAATCGATACAATAAAAGTACCAATGTAATTGGTTCGAGAAAAAATTTCTTCATTTTTGTTAATAAAAGTGGGAAAAAAATGTTCATTATTGGTTATCGAATATCGAATATCGGTATCTTCTTTTACATGTGTAGAAGGCACAGTTTCGATCCCGATAAAAAGATACCGATACATTCGTTGGAAATTAATTTTTCTCCTTTTTAATTAATTTTAAATTATTTTGACAATTATCATTGAGCTTTTTTTGTTTGTTTATCATTTATGAATTATGGTTTCAACTAATCACAATTTAAGTTTTCCAAATTGACTGAAAGGTTTAGTTTTGTTTTCTAGTTGCTCTTTTTCAAGTGAAAACAAAAAAGTGGAAAATACAAAAACGAGAGGCTAAAGTTGATTAATTGTTTCGAGTTAATTACAATCAAATGAGAGCAATTGAAATTGCAAAAAACTTGATTTAGCATTTTGAGAAAAAAAGAGAGAGAGAACAAGTAAATTAAAGGATATTGATTGTTAACTGTTTAAGCATATCTGTTGTTTCTGTCACCAAGACAATCAATTTCCATGGGATTATTAAACTTTTAATTGTTGTGGTTGGTCAAAAATCAAGCTCTTCTATTAAGGCAAGATTGTTGATGATTCTAATTGTAATGGTAATCAACTTATTGGAAGATAATTATACACAGAGATAAATATATTTTCATCGAAGACTATTAATGTGGCAAAATGAGAGGGAAGATGAAGATGATGGGAGAGAGAGAGAGAGAGAGAGAGATGATAGTTTGTACTTAAAGTTGATTTGAAACTTTTACAATTTAGAGAGAAATTATTTAAACATATTTGCTTGTGTGTTGACTTCGTAAATGAGTTCATTAATTGCGTTGAGTTAATGACGATGATGATGGTGATAATGATGATGGTGACGACGACGACGACGATGATGATGACAACTAAATGAATATATTCATATGTGTTTATCTTATTAGATTTATCTTTATATTCATAAATTAATCAAATCCATGATAATTGTTACGATTGGTATTCCTTTTTTAGATTATTAATTGTAAACATTTAACTCAAAAATTCTCTCTCAACAGCAGCAGCCATTTCTTCATCAACCGATCCAATTGATTCGTTATAATCATCGTCATTACTGGTTGAATCACTTCGTTCTGCAAACGAATCTCGAGTCTCATCATCATCGGCCAGTCGAGTACAAGCATATTTAAATTTTTTACTCTTCTTTTCCCACCCCTTAGGGTATTCTGAGTAACTTGCTCCTTCTCCTTCTTCATCTTCTCCACCGATTTCGGCCTCATCATCCGATGCCCATTCAGGTCTTCGTTTGTAGCCCGACATCGGTTGATTACCCTCTTCATCTTCACTATCGGTGTTCCCTGTTGATAATTCATCGCCCTCCGAACAGGCATCGTCAACCTCTTTATCCATCAATTGAAGATCGTTTTTCGAGAACCCCGACAATGGACTAAATTGCAGCATATTAGATGGTTGGAGATCAGTTTTCTGAAGAAATGCTCGATCTTTTGAGCTACTTGTTCGTCGGGATAATCCACTTCCACTTGGCTCATTAAGATTAATTATTTTCGGACGACTTTTGATAACCTTTTTCCCTGTAACCGGATCATAAACGGGGTACTCTTCATACTCTTGTATTGGACCACTTTTACCACCACCACCACCACCACTACTTGATGAACCCTCACCACTACCACCGGGAGGATAATTTGACTCAGATATATGAGATGGTGATGATTTAAACTTTTTTTCCTGGACAAGATCAAAGTTATCATCTTTTGATAATGTAAACAACACTTCGTCAACCTTTTCCCACCTCTCGGCGCAACAATATAACCACAACGGGTTAACTATATGAATCTTATTTAGATATTTTAAAGCTTTGGTCACTTTGAGTGTCCCATGTTTAGCAGCAATTAGATGAGTTGTTTTCTCCAATGGTGATCCCACCAGAATTATATCTTTGGTTACATTGGCACCTAAAGATTTGGCCAATGAGTAGAGTTTACTTTTCTCGGGCGGCATATTGGTTGGTATTAATCCACTAAATACAATGTTAACTCCTTGTAGTGTTTTCTTACGCACTTGGGGTATTATTTTCTTAAGATCAGGTAGTTCAATATGTTCATCGTCACTAGAGTATTTCATTAAATCTTTATAACACTCAAAGTATTCTTTATGTATCCGTTTTAGAATATCTTCCAAATAGAGAAGATAATCATCTGAATCATCGATAATCTTATTTTCACTGGTTGCATCTTCTGAACTATCAGGTAGATCTTCACTTTCTTTTGCATCTTTCATTTTCTCATCATCTTTATCCGATGAAGATGATGTTGGTTCTATTGATGATGATGATGATGATGATGGTCCTGGATTCTCATTGGAATGAGGAGACTCACTAGATTGCTCTTTAATTGGTTCACTGGTAGTTGATGTTATCGTTGACTCTTCTTCTTTCACTATTTCAGTTTTACTTGAAGATGAAGATGATGTTGCCTCTTCTTCCGATTTTCCATCTGATTCTACCTTGATCTCTTTCTCTGTTCCTTTCAATTCTGGTGATGGTGTTTCCATTTCTATGGCAGATGATGTACTAATTTCTGGCTCAATGACAATTTTTTCTTCTTCTTCTTGTTCGACTTGTTTAGTTACAATCTTTTCGGTGGAAACTGTTTCTCCCTCTGGAAATGAATCTTTCGTTTCACTGACACTGTCCATCTTGACGATTTTCTTTTCATTTTCTCCATCATTATCATCACCACCACAACAATCAATCTCCTTCTTATCCTTTTCATCAAAACATTTTATGACAATTGGCTCTTCTTTTGAAACAACGACTTCTTGTTTAGATTTTTCTGTTAAACATTCAGTGATTGGTATTATTGTAACAGGTTGTGAGGATGACGAAGATGATGATGATGATGATGACTGTGATAGTGACAGTGATTGTGGAGAAGGTGGTGATGACGATGAAGAGGATAATGGTGATGATGATGTTGCTGTTGGTGTTGGTGTTGTTGGTTGTGGTTGTGGTGATGATGATGATGATGATGATGACTGTAAATTGCCACTTTGAACATTATAAAAAGATTCTTCTTTCGGTTTATAAGGAGAATTTATATCACCAGTATTTTTGAAGAAAAAGTAAGGCTTAACTGCGATCAAATTGGGCGCAAAATTCCAAACATCTTGACGATCATCGATAATACAGACCAGTGAATCGCCACAGGGAAAAAGTGCTTTCAGATTACCCGTTTTGGAGGTTGGATCGAAACACTCATCTCGAGAAAGAATCCGATGGGAGAAATATTTCTGCGATGGGTCAAGAAGCTCGGCTATCTTGTGTGCGTACATTCGAGCTCCAAAGGTACAAATATGAAGCTCATAAAAGGAAGAAATATTCTCCAAAAATCGTGAAGTATGAGGTCGAAGTTTGGTAAAATACCAGGGAGTATTTCCACCATATAATTGGTATCTGCAAACATCTTTTAATCCATCTGAAGGTGGCTCATTTGTTGAATGGATTAAAGTTTGATCAAGATCAACCAGTAGAACCAATTTACCGTCTTTTAATAATCGAGTCTCATCGGCTTTACCAAGTTTCTCAGCCTGTTCTTGGGTAACTCGTAATTCGGGTACAGAGTGGATCATACAAACAGATGCGGATGTTTTATGCTCGTCATCATCTAAAATTGTATTTACAATACAAGACATTTTAAAAAGAAAATCAAAAAGAAAAGAGTAATTAATGAGAATGAAACAACAAAAGAAAAGAATATAATAACAACTAAAGAGAATAAATTAAAACAAAGGATATTTAGAGAAAAGAAATTTGAACCAAAAGAGGAAATTAACGATATCCTTTACTATTTTGTTAACCTCGTAAATAGAGAGAGAGAGAGAGAGGGAGAGAAAGAGGTAGAGAGAGAAAGAGAGAGAAAAAAGAGAGATAAAGAAAGAAAGAAAAAGAGAAAATGAGAGAGAAGAAAGAGAATCAGAAAATAGAATAGTGAATATGCTTACCCAATTCTCGAAGATCTCGTCCACATTCAGCACAAAGATCTTTCATTACGGTTGGGTGGGAACATGGAAGATACTTTATTATCGGATCGTGATTGTAGATATCTTGACCTTCCTTGACCAGCAATTCCATTGTGGTTCCATAGGCGTTAGCCTTATATTTAACCTCTTTACCTGAATTTAATGAGATAAACATTAAGGTTCCTTTGGATAATCGATGACCAGGTTGGATTCTCCATTTAACCAATTTAACACCATTTGGACCTTCGTAAGTAATTATTGAGGGTAAACTGGGATATAAAAAAGAATTCGACATTTTATCTTAATTAATGGACCGAAAAAAAGATCAAATTAAAGTTCATTATTTAAATTTTAGAAGAACAAAAAAACAATAACAATTAACAAAAAGTTGATTCAGAGAAAAAAACAAAGAAAAAAATCATCTGCAAATAGTTGAAAAAACGATCGAGAGATGGCGCTGGTTTTCATTCTTTTCCAATTTGAATTAACTTTTCAATTTAATTGTTAACTGTAATTTTCTAAGGAAATTAAGTTTAATTCTAATCAATTCTAATGGTTATTGATTGGATCTTTTTTGGTGTGAGTCAAATTCACAAGAATTGATGAAGTTTCTGTCTTCTGGCCAATGAAATGTTCAAAAATTAATGTGATTGTTTGGTCATGACTAAGATCGTTAATTTAATCAATTTGTGGGTTTAGTTGATTATCAGGATGATTAACTTGATTTGAAGACAATTGATTATTTTCGACGTCTATCTAATCATTGATTATCTTTTATTTCTTTGAAAATTCGGTTAATACAATGGAAAAAATTGAAAATTCAATTTTGATTCTCCATTTTCAATGGTTTGTTGGTTTTTTTTTTGTCGTAACGATTTAATTAGTAACCATATCCGGCTTGGAATCGATTTGAATCATCGTAGCCCATTGATCGAGTATGAGCATTGTTGATTTGTCCTGAGGCCGATAAACTTGTTCCCTGGACACCTCCAGGTCCATCAGTGAACGAGGTGTGAGTCTTTTCATAAGAATGACTTGCAGCCGAAGCGCTATTATCATAACCTCGAGAATTTGATTCGATATTAACATAAGAACCAGGAACACCGGGTCCCATCATCGGCCCTGGACCATTAAGTGCCCCAGTTCCCAATACACCACTTCCGAGACCCGCAACACCATTAACAGCTGATTGGAGGGCATGACCTTTAGCGAACTCGATATTCGCAGCACCTTTAGCAACATCACCGACGGCATTAAGAGCACCTCCAATCAGACCTGATGCAGTTCCAGTAACGGCATTTAAAGCATTTGCTGCAGTACCGAAAATAGTATCAGCAATTGGTCCGAGAATCGGTGAAGCTACAATTTAGAAATTGACAATTAGTTAATTTTTCTTTTCGAACAACCAAACAAAAACTTTTCTCGAATCCTCGAAACTTACCTGAAGTCGAAATGGCAAAGGAAAGGACACAAATTGCAACGAAAGATTTCATCTTGAACGATTGGAAGTGATTAACAAATCAACTGATTTACTAATTGTTAACTTTAAAGAGTAGATTAGATTTGATCATTTCTCCAACAATTAACAACCATTTTTATACCAATTTTTAAATGGAGACAAAAACTCAGCGGCTTCTAATTATTTCTCAGCATTTTAATTGATCATTAATTTAAACAATCAGCTCATCTTTTAATTGTCTAGTTTAATTTAATCAACTCTAAGATTGGAAACCTGAACAATTTGATCCAGTTAATCAATCAAAATGATAATTAAGTGACACTACTATTGTTTAGTTTCATTTAAAGTAATCAAGGTTGGAGAAATTAATTTTTCCAATCAAATTAATCAACAGAATTTAATTTTTCATAGTTACTGTAATCACAATTAAAAAATTCTAATCACTCCAATCACCTTGATTAAATTATCTCTATCAATCATTGTCTTTAATCAAGATTAATAACAATCAGGTGATTTATTGACATTTGGTTAATTGTTATAATCAAAGGTGCTTTTCAAATTATCTTATTAACGTCATAACGATAATTAGTTAATTGTTTTTTCTATATCAAGTTAATCAACTAATCGATATAAATTTCAATTCAATTATCTCGTTAAATTTAATCAACAAAAGTAAATCATGATTTGAATTGGAAAATCATCTCAATCAACATTCAAACCACAATTTAATTGCCGCAATTTGTTTAACCTAAAGTGCACCGATTAATCAATTAGTGGATCAAATTAAATGATTGAGAGATTAAGTTTATGATTAAGTTAATCAGTTGGATAATTTTGGTCAAAATGAGTTTCATATTAATTTTATATCGAAAGGTTAAGATTATCATTGATTGATTGAAACAATTAGATAAGAGAAAAATAAGAAATATTGATTGATTTTATTTAGAGGTTAATTGTTGCTCTTTAATGACAATTTAGTTACAATTTAATAGCCCAATTCAACATTAGCATTTGAATTAGATGAAGCTGAAGCTCTGAGGTTTCCGTTTCCAGCACCATTGTAGTTAACTCCAGCATTTGAGTTTGAATTGGCTGAGCCAGAAACTGAGCCGCCATTGTAACCACCGCCATTGGCATCAACATTAGCTGATGAGCCAGAATTAGCAGATCCGCTGAATCCACCACCATTCGATGAGCCACCAGATTGATCACCGTTTCCACCTTGGTAACCACCATTTCCTCCGCTTTGATATCCACCGTTTCCACCATTTTGATATCCACCGTTGGAACCGGAGTTACCATTTCGGTCAACATAGATGACCTGTGGGGGAGGGGAAGGTTGTCGTTCACGTTCAACGTAAATAACTTGAGGTTGTTGTTGTGGTTGTTCCCGTTCAACGACACGTTCTCGTCGACCGCCATTACCGCCACCGAAAATGGTTCGAATAGCACCAGTACCAATAGAAGCGGCTCCACCAAGAATAGATCCAAGGAAACCACCACCGCCTCCATTGTTACCTCTAGAGTAATCATCGGATTCACCTCGACCTCGTCCACCGCCTCCAATTTTAACAGCAAATCCATCGGGCTCACCATAACCATCTTTGGTCACTCCGACACCAACCCCGAAACCATTTCCTCGACCTCCTCGGCCTTCAGATCCAAAACCTACACCAACACCGTTAAAGTTATCATTGGACACAATACCAGCACCGACACCAGAACGTCGGCCGTCGTAATTAGCTAAAAGATCAAAAAGGTCAGAAAATCAAGTTAATCGAACAAAAAAAAATTCGAAAATTTGTTCCTACCTGAGGCCAAAATAGCCCACGAAAGAACACAAACTACAGAGAAAACTTTCATTTCTAATTAGATTATTAATCAATATAAAGATGAGAAATTACTACAAACCAATAGTGGAGATGATAAAATGAAGGCGAAATTAATTATTTGATCCACTTTTATACCTTTACCGATTAATTAGCTTCTACGTATTTAGCTGATTCCTCATGAAACAATTATAACAATTTATCATTATTTTCCCAATTACGATGTGTGCGTATCAATATTTCCAAAGGATAATAACAGGAACAATAATTAAATTAATCTAATTACATTCGGAAACAATATCATGAAATTTCAGGTGAAATTTCGTAACAATCATCTTGATTAGAATTGATTGTCTTGCTTACAAATTGATTGTGCTTTTCTTTGTAAATAATAGTATCAATCGTATAAAAGATCAACAGTCCAGAATTCAAAATTTAATAATCGAAAAGGATTCCAACTGACCAACGATAAATATGAGATCGAAAATGATATAACTTTATTATCGTTTAAAATGAGAATCAGAATAAGAGTTCATTGTATATGAATGACGTCGCTAATTAATCAGTGTGATTAAGTGGTTTTCTTTTCAATTGTATTAATTGTTACAAATGATGCAAAGAATATAATGAGTTGGATCAGAAATTCGAGTATAAGTTGAATTGAGAAAACGATCTGAGATATTACAGATAATGCAAATTTCGAATGGAAAAAATGAAAATTGTATAATGTAATTGGCGATACAACGAAGTTCTGGCTTTCTATATTCGAAATATGTTCATGTTATCGTGGCCTTTCTCGAATTTAGGTTCTACCATGAAAAAGTACATTCGATATCAATTTATTTAGCGATTCTATGTTTCGTCATTCGAGATCATTTGTCGATTGTGCTCTGATATTGTATCGATTTCTATTTTCACCATTAACTATCAAATGAAAGAAAATTTCGAACAAAAGTTCGAATATCATCAGTAGAACGTGCGAAAAGGTACAGTCCCAAAATTAGATCAAAATTACTATTCGAATCAACAAAATCAGCGTAATCAAATGTACTGATCATCGTCAGTGACGAAAATTATGATCATTTGAATCGACTGGTTTTTTCGAGGAAAAATTGATTGTGGTACAAGTTTATTTACGAAAATTTTGGTCAGTTTTACCGAAAATTCTGACATCAATTTTTATTTCGCTTCTTCCTTGGAAAATTTGATCTTCCTATTTGATGGTTCCTACAATCTTTTGAGCGAATTTATTGTGATTTATTATCATTTAGTTTTTGATTGATTTTGAATCAGACCTAAGAGTCGATCGTTGAATGAAAATTTGGTTCTAAGGTCGTGAGTTTATAAATTTTGCTTTAAATTGGTAAACAAGTAAGCGAAGATGAGATTAGTTGGTTTTAATTATGATTTTTAATTCGAATCAAATTCATTCAAAGTAAATAAAATAACATCAAATTTAGTGTTAATCATTAGAACACAGTTTATGAGATGATCAATTTATCGGGTTTAGTATAAGTTTGCAAAAGAATCGGCATTATTTCTGGACTGATCAAAGAAACCAGCGTTAAGACCAGATTGAGAAGCTCGAAGTTGATCATTTTCGAAATTGAAACCTCCTTTTTGTGCGGCATTATTATCGAACCCAGCATTGTGGAAATTAGCACCGGATGATCGATCAGATGATCCAGATTCTGAACCACTACCGAAGTTGTATTGTTTATTGAATCGGTCATTTTCGTTGTTGAAATTTGAACCAGAATTGTCGAAACCTCGTGAAGCTTGGTTGTTATCGTAGAAACCAGCGCCTGCTGATCGAGATTTGTCCAAATCGTTTTGGTAAGCGTTGAGGTTACCAGATTTTGTGGATTCTGAGCTACCACGTGATCCAGCTGAGCCTCGACCTCCACTAATACCAACATTAGCTCCAGCATTTCCTCCTTGAGATCCGCTTGAAGCGCCAGCACCAGCGTTTCCATTGTTTGAACCTTGTCCACCGCCGAGGATAACTCCACCTGAGCTTCCTTCACCAATACCTGAACCACCTCGTCCACTATTTTCTGGTCGGTAACCTCCTTGTCCACCGGGAAGGGTAATTCCACCTGAGCTTCCTTGTCCGATACTGATTCCAGATCCTCCGTTTCCTTGACCTTCACCATTACCGTTACCACCGATGATAACTCCACCGGAGCTTCCTTGACCGATACCTGAACCGCCTTGGCCTCCGTTTTCTGGTCGATAACCTCCTTGTCCACCGGGAAGGGTAATTCCACCTGAGCTTCCTTGTCCAATACCTTGTCCACCACCGATGATAACTCCACCGGAGCTTCCTTGACCGATACCTGAACCACCTCGTCCACCATTTCCTGGTCGATAACCTCCTTGTCCACCGGGAAGGTTAATTCCACTTGAACCTCCTTGAGATCCGCTTGAAGCGCCAGCACCAGCGTTTCCATTGTTTGAACCTTGTCCACCGCCGATGATAACTCCACCTGAGCTTCCTTGTCCAATTGTGGCTCCAGATCCATGTCCTCGACCTCCATTGTTTCCTCGTCCACCACCGAGGATAACTCCTCCTGAGCTTCCTTCACCGATACTTGAACCACCACGGCCTGCATTGCTCAAGCTGCCACCTCCTTGTCCACCAGGGAATTGAACTCCTCCTGAGCTTCCTTGACCGATACCTGAACCACCTCGGCCTGCATTACTCAAGCTGCCGATACCAAATTCAAAACCAGAATTAGCTCCTGAGTTACTATTTCCTTGTCCACCTCTTTGTCCACCAATTCCGATATTTAATCCACTGTTTCCACCAGCATTCGAACCGGCATTAGAACCACTTTGAGCTCCATTGTTTGATCCTCCTTGTGAACCAGATCCTGAGTTAGTACCAACTTGAGTTTGTCCTCGTGATCCACTTTGTCCACCACCAAGACTAATACCACTGGAAGAGCCTCCTTGTCCTCCAAGACCAAGACTGAGACCGAAGCCAATACCTGATCCGCTGTTTCCTCTACCTGAACCAGAACCAGAACCAGAGTTAGAGCCAGAACCTGATCCTAAACCAATATTGACACTTCCTGAAGAGCCTTTTTGACCATTTCCATATCTATCGACGGAGACAGCACCACCTCCAAGACCAGATTGTCGATTGTATCGGTCATTTTGATTATTGAAAGAAGAACCAGAATTATCATAACCTCGTGAAGCTTGATTATTATCATGGAAACCAGAGCCTGATGATCGAGATTGATCTTGTTCGTTTCGGAAATTATTAAAGTTACCAGAGCTTGTGGAATCTGAACTTCCTCGTGCTCCAGCTGAGCCTCGTCCTCCGGAGATACCAACATTAACACCAACATTTCCAGCTCCTCCTTGAGCACCACGTCCAATATTTACATTAGCACCAGTGTTTGATAAACCAGCCGAGGAACCAGCGTTGCCTCCGCTCGAGCTTCGTCCTCCATTGAGACCGAAGTTCACATTAACTCCAGCACCAGAACTGCCTTGTCCATGTTGTCGTCGGATAAAAGTAGCTAAACAATCATCAAATAGAAACAATTAGTTATCAGTACTCGATAGGAATTAGCTAATCACTTACCTGATGATAATCCAGCTAATGCGAGAACACAAATAGCAGTGAAAATTTCATCTCGATTAGATTTTTATTATCACAATTTATTTTGATTGTAGTTGATTATAGTTGATAGCTTCAAACTGTATCAATGTTATCTCAATGATGAACAATTAGATTGTGATGAGAAAATTGTTTCTTTTTATATTAATATCTGATTATCTATCGATTAGCAACAGAGAGCATTTTTTTGATTACTGATCAATGATTTGATTAATTGCCTACCGTTAATCAATTCATCTTTAATTTGATTTCAATTGTCTTTTGGTTATTGGCTGTTATCAAAGGTCAAATACCAGTCGATGATTCAGAAAACAGCTAATCAATCATTGAATTAGATAATTACTTGAACTTAATCAGCTTTTATAAACCAAAAAAAGACAATTGTTATCAATAATTAACAATTTGATCATCTAAATTCACTAGTTCGAGCCATTGACAAAGTAAAGTTATGGATCATCTTGACAGTTTCTATTGAATTTCATAGGCTGCTCATGATCTAATGGAATCGGTCTATGAATCTCACCATTGTTCATGAGACGATTCGTGAACTCGTTTATACAATTATGTATTAATATTTGCTGTCAAATTGATTAATTTGCTCACTGATCAATATTATTTGACTATTCGGAAATACAAAGCCCTATTTAGATCAATGAAATTCATAAGCAAATATTTATAATAATATCTCAATCGTACCATGTTTATTTCGGACTTTTGTCATAAAAAATTCTGAATGAAGAATTCCGTTCAATGCGATTGGTGGTCGCATCATCTATTACCATGTGAAAGAGTATTTTCTGAACTAAAGCTAGTTAATGCTCATTCAATTGAGGATTAAGATCTTGAGATTCTTGAACGTTTATTGAAAACGTACTAATTATGTAGGCTAATTAATACTGATTCGTGTGATTTATTGTGAGAAAAATTATCTTCATCCATTCTCGAACTAATTGTGATCAATTGATTCCCGGTACTTTCGGTCTGAGCTTTACAATTCCTGCAAATTTCATTCTATTGTGACTTTTGTTAATAAATTCACTTTTTCTTCAGGAAACTCTGAATTATTTTGATGAAAAGTTTTTGCAATTTGGAGTCATGAAAATTACTGGATAGAATAAATTCTTAACAAATATTCCAGAATATTGAAAATCGATCTTAATCCTAGTCTAATAAATAAAATTTTCATCGAAAGCTCAGCACCAAAGGTCAAGTTCACGCCCTTTAACTCATCAAAAACACACTAATCAACGAATGATATCATATTAATAGAATATCAAATGCTAGATCATTTTAGATAGAGTGGTCGAAAAACCTTCTCTTTCGATTGAATCTACTGTGTAAAAAATATTCGAACCTCTGAAAGAGACATTTGGACAATAGTTGCATCGAATCCCAATGTGTTGACATTTTCTTCTGATAAACGTCGATATGATTGAAAGAGGTTTAGAACTATTTTTAAGAGTCTTAATTAAGTTTATTGTTCGAATGATTGAGGTAATTAGTAAAAAATACAAGAAATGATCTTAATTATTCCTTAATTGTTTCCATAAGCTTCAGAATTGGTTCGTAATGAGCCATATGATTGATCTGAACCAGCTCGAGCACCAAGTGAAGTACCTCGAGTACCAGAACCAAGAGTAACTCCAGCGGAACTTGAATCAGGTCCAGCAAATGAACCAGCTGAACTTGGACCGGTGGAGGGTCGACCATAGTAAAGATAATCATCATTATCACGATATCGGTCATTTCGACCTCCACGATTATAATTGTATCCAATGTCAATTCCATCAGCGATTCCCTTTCGATATGCTTGTTCCCGTCTTCGGAGTAAAACGGTTCCTATTCAAATTAAACATCAACAATCAATTAGTTTGATCGCAAAGTTAATCATTAACAATGAAATACTTTACCTGTTGCGATTGAGATTAAACAAAGAGCAACAATTAAGCTAACAATTAATTTCATATTGATATTTTTCTCTTGAGTTTTAATCAAAAAGATTTACTTGATTACACAACTGATTTGCTAAATTAAATGAATACGATTCAACAATTACTTTGGATTTATATACAAGCGACAATCAGCTAATCATCTAAGCTTAAACTAATTAATCATGTAATTTCTGACTGTAACTTATGATTATCTATCCAAAATCAACTTTAACTTTCCCCTGGCAACCAGTTTGATTGTAATAATTAATTTGATATTCTGTGGTATGATCAGCTTAACAATATCTAATCAATTGTTGTACTTTTTAGTTAATTGGTAAACAAGATGATTAATAACAATTAACCTGCAAATAGCTAATGATAACTCTTAGCATTTACAATTAACACGTTACAATAATGATGACATTTGCCTATGATTAATTGTCAATTTGTATCAATTCAATAACAAAGTTGATTGAGATCATCTAAAGGTTATCGAGTTTTTTTTGCAACAACAATTAAGACTCCTATTTGATTGTCAATTAAGCCTTTTGACTAATCGATAAGTGAAACTGACCATTGGATTAGGCTCAAATGGAATCAGAGAAAAAAAGTGAATCAATTGAATCAAACTAACTACACTGTACTAAAAGTTAGTAAAAAAATGCTCGCAAGAATAAATTGCAATTGACAGACTAATCATGTGATTAATGTGATTAATCAATTTCATCTTAATTATATTCCAAAAGGATACGACAACATTTTGACAGTAAGGTAAATACAATAGGTAAGCTTTTCTGCTTTTGTCTAATGTTAATACAAATAACGTAATAATAAGCAGTCGAAGTCCGAAAAGTTCGTGATGGGGACAGAAAAAAGTCCTTTTTCTCCATCTCTTTGCGACTATTATAATATTTGAAAAAAGTTTCGATCGAAACTCTCTCTCTCTCTCTCTCTCTCTCTCTCTCTCTCTCTCTCTCTCTCTCTCTCTCTGCATTGATCATTCCTCATCAGTTTTACCCCTAGGCAATAATTTCAAAACGACAAAAGTGTTTCCGAATGATTTCTTTGGTGACAGAATACAACTTAAGCCAATCAGCTTATGTTTAGCCAATAGGTTGTACTGTAGTTGTAATCGTTGACCTCACATTGGCCATTAATATAGTGCCATCTTTAGATTTATAATATTTAGATTTGTAAGATTAATTCTAAGAACAAATCGACAGTGTCAAATACGTATGAATAGACAAATGAAAAGTTAGAATTCAGTTTATTTTTGAGAATCATTATTGATTAGGTTACAGTTTAATTTCGTCTTGCATAAACTTCAGCGTTATTTTTGGCTTGATTAAAGTAATTGGAATCAATTCCAGCTTGTGAAGATCGAAGTTGGTCATTGTCGAAATTGTATCCACCTTTTTGAGAAGCACTATTATCGAAACCAGTGTTTCGGTAATTTGAACCAGATGATCGATCAATAGAACCAGAATCGAAACCACCGTTGAAACCAGGTTGTCTATTGAATCGGTCATTTTCGTTGTTGAAAGATGAACCAGAATTGTCGAAACCTCGTGAAGCTTGGTTGTTATCGTAGAAACCAGAGCCTGATGATCGAGATCTGTCCAAATCGTTTCGATAAGAATTGACGTTACCAGAGTTGGTCAATTCTGAGCTTGCTTTGGCTCCAGCTGAGGCTGGACCTCGTCCTCCACTAAGACCTGCGTTGGCATTAGCACCACCAGCGCCAGAACCAGCACCGGCATTGGCACCAGCATTACCTTGACCATCACCTCGTCCTCGAATTGATTTACCGATTCCGATACCAGAAACTACACCAGATTCATAAGCTTGTCTTTGTCGTCTTCTTGATAAAGTAGCTAAATCAATCAGATAACAAGTCGTTAGTAACCAAACTTAATTAACTAGATTACCGATCGTTAATTACTTACCTGACGATAATCCAGCCAATGCAAGAACACAAATAACAACGAAAATTTTCATTTCGATAAAATTTTTAGAAACAAAAGTTTAATTTGAGATTTTCAATGTTATCTGAATGGTGAACAATTAGATTGTGATTAACAAATTGTTTCTATTTATACTTTATATCTGATCCGATGATCAACTCTCGTTAGAAACACATTTAAGGTTAATTGTCGTGTGATCAACTGAATGATTACTCAATTGTTGTCAATTAATCTAAGATTAATTATGTTTTAGCCATTGATTGTTGGGTCAATTTATAATCGATATCGAAAATCATTTTTTGTATTACTCATAATTAGTTGATAAATAAACGATCAAAAACAGAAAGTTCAACAAATCGAAATGTTCAAAGTCGATTTTTTCGATCGAAATTTTTCCCCCTGTCCCTCAAGATTCCACCATGTCATCAACAGCTGATTTCTCGATATAATTATCAACTCTTTACCCCATTGAGAACTTAATTGGAGTCAATTTCCACAATTACTTGTAATGATCAATGTCTCAGCGAGAAACTCATAGCCGATCGCTTAAAACTGTCTAATTACCCCCTAACCCACGCTATCGTGGACTAGAGGTCATGATATTGACTTAGACTAAGAAATCTGAAGCCACAATCGGCGGACAGTTTCAATTACTTGATCGCAACCGATTCAATTTGATTGTGTGAACGAGAAAAGTTATTGGCAAAGAATTTTAATCTTTTCAATGGTAAATTTTGAACTTATACAAGATACAAATATTAATATTTCTCAATCAGTTATATTTAATTGTTCAATTAGTTATCTGATTACAACAATTAGGCGGTTACTCCGTAAGCTGAAGCAGAGTTTTTGTTTTGATTAAAGAAATCGGAATTGAGTCCAGCTTGTGAGGATTTAAGGTTTTCGTTATCGAAAGCGAAACCAGATCGTTGGGCAGCATTGGCATCGAATCCGGTGTTTCGGAATTGAGATCCTGAAGCTTTGTCTGAAGATGAGAGAGAAGAGTCTGAGAAGAAACCATCAGGTCTGAATTCTCGGTTATTAGCGGCTCGGTTGGATTCAGTTGAGAAGGTTGAACCAGAATTATCGAAACCTCTCATGGCTTGTGAGTTATCATTGAAACCAGAGCCACTTGATCGTGAAGCATCTAAGTCGTTTCGGTAAGCGTTAAGACGACCAGCGTTGGTAGATTCAGAATCACTTCGAGATCCGAAAGCAGATGAGCCTCGTCCTCCACCGATACCAACATTAGCTCCGGCATTTCCTCCTTGAGATCCACTTGAAGCACCAGCTGAAGCTCCGCCACGTCCAGAGTTTACACCAGCACCAGCGTTTCCATTGTTTGACCCTTGTCCTCCGCCGAGGATAACTCCACCGGAGCTTCCTTCACCGATACCTGAACCACCTCGTCCACCATTTTCTGGTCGATAACCTCCTTGTCCACCGGGAAGGGTAATTCGACCTGAACCTCCTTGTCCACCGTTTCCTTGACCTTCACCATTACCGTTACCGTTACCATTTCCACCGGCACCAATGCTGACACCTCCTCGGCCTCCACCTCGGGAACCTCCTCGGCCTCCAATTCCGAAACCTAAACCGATTCCTCCAACACCAACACTAACACCTCGTCCACCGGAACCTCGACCTCCGATATTTACATCAACACTGGTACCTCGTCGAACGCCGAGACCACCAGTACCAACACCAACACTGACACCACCTAAACCTCGTCGTCCATTCACACTAACACCAACTCCACCGGTACCAACACCAACACCAACTCCACCAGAATTACATGATCCAGTTCGAGTTCGGATCAAATGAGCTTCGAAAAAAAAAATTTATTTCAATCAATTAGACCAAAATTAAATTCTAACAATTAACTTACCTGATGACAAAGAAGCCACAGCAAAAAGAGCAAGACAAATAAGTGAAAGTTTCATAATTAAATTGAGAGTTAATTACAACTATTAAAAGTTAATTGTGAGAAAAAATAAATTGCTGTTAACCAATTGCACTCTCTTATATACTAGCCAATGCTAAATGATTAGTTAATCGTCATCAGCCCAACTGATTACAAAATCTTTGTTAGAAAAGGTGAATTAGTAAATTATTGCCACAATTAGAGTTTCAGAATTAAGATCAACAATTAACCGAATATAAACAAAACGATTAATCAAGAAGAGATAATTAATTAGTTGTGACAATCAGCTGCAAATGGCTAATCAGTTATAAACGATAATCAGTTAATTGTCATAATATTTTCATTCCAACAATCTGAATAACATTTATCTTTGACTGTTTTAATTGTCAATCAATTGATTAACTATAAATTAATATTGTACACGGAATTAAATTGTTACTATAGATTTTTAATCATTGAAAAATGGTTGACAATCAAGCAACAATCAAGTGACAATCGTAAAGACAAAAAGTTATGAAACAATCAAAGGTAAAAATAAACCGGATTACAATCAACAGTTACAATTAAGACAATAAATTACAATTACAATTACAATTAATCATTTGTGTTTTACCAAAGGGTAAACAACAATATCAATTTAGCACAATTAGTTAATTATTTACACAAGAATAAGATTAATACAAATGAAAAAAAAAGAGATTCGGATTAATTGGATTAGTCATTAATCTTTATATATGAGAATTGGAGCACCGGAAGAGGAAGTGGTTGATTGGGGGGAAGAGTTTTGTTTACCTGGATTATTAACAATCAAACTGACCCTTTCCGAGGGCTCCATCAGATGATGGTCACTTTGAATATAAGGATTATCTTGATTCTTCCTGATTAACGGGACTAATCCCTTTAATCCGTTTTTGAATGTTGCATAAGCTTCAGCTGAAGATGATGATGAAGTTAAGGTTTCCCTTGACCTTTCATTTGAATTGGAAGCTGAGTTATCCTCCCTTGTGGAAAGGATTAACTGTTTACCTTCATGTGGATTAACGGTTAATCCGTTTGACGATCTATGGTCAACCTCTTGACTTGTGGCCGGCATTTTATTGATGTAAACTGGTTCTCGAGGTCCAGTTGATTGTTGGTCACCTTCAAATGAATACCAATCACGATTCTGATATTGATTAGGTTGATGGTTTAGCTCATTGGATGATGATACGGATGATGATTCACTAGAACCAGAATTTTCATGATAAAATACTTTCGGAATTAGATCAGTCATCGGGTGTTGTTGTTCATTTGAGGAGATAATCTGGTTCATTGGATTTTGATAGTTTTCGGTTGGCGGATAAGCTGCTGGTCTTTTTCTGGTCACTGAGCCGCGTTGATTGTTGGACTTGAGAGATGAGTGATGAAGATGCTGAGAGGGTGAAGGTTGAGATGAATAAGCTGATGGAGGTGGTGGTAGGGGCAGATGAACTTGGGGCTGGTGTGGGCTGTGTTTTTCAGCCGATCCCTGATTCAGATATCCATGGTGAGGAATAGTATATTCAGAAGAATCAATGTTTTTCTGTTGGTGATGAACATTTTTCTCACCGGAATTATGATTCGAGGATTTTATATGATTCCCGTTTCCGTGTTCACTTGAATACGAGTCACTTGTATCTTGACCTGAGGTTGGCTTGCGTTCAGTTGATTCCAATGAATCGGATGATTGGTGGAAACGCATAACCGGTAGCGGGAATTCAGGAATATCGTAGTTGACCTTAGGCGCTGGCGGCGAAGGTAATTGAGTTGGATGATGCGATTGGTAATGATGGTGATTGTCTCTTGCTCTTTGGTAATTGTTTGGTTCCGTTGGACGTTGATTTGGTTTTAATTGTTGCTGCTTTGATCGTTGATCGTTGCGTTTACCTTGATCATTGTTATTACTGTACCACCGATTGTCCGACTTTGACCTCAACGAGTTGGACTTTTGCTTCTGATTTTCATGGGAAATCCATTCTACTCCTTTTTCTGGTTGTCTTGGTTTCTTCACATCGCGATAATTGCCCTCTGGGTAGTGTACCTTTGATTTGGGCCTTTCGAGGGCTTGGTGGTAATATCGATGACCCTCATTGACATCGGGCTTAGGGAGCGCATCTTGTTTTGTTTTAACTTTCGAGTCGTAAGCTGACCGGTGCTCATAATCAGGTGAAGTTGGTGCTAAGGTTGAATATCGCTGAGGTTTATCAATGCTAACTCGATTACTACTTGATTTGACCTGATGCTCGCTTGGTGGATCTTGATGTCTTGGTGACCAGTCAGCGGCTTCCGATTGATAATGAGCTTCAGCCTCGGAAACTTTTGATCGGCTTGATTTTGGTGTAGAAAATAATCTTGTCGGTGTCTCAGGTCGAGGCGGAGTTGGAGGTGGCGGAGGTCGATCAATGAAAGAGTTGAAAGCATTTTCGTAAGCTCTCCTGTTAGAATCAAGTTGCCGATTTTTTTCAGAATTTTTCCTCTTCGAATTGACCTTTTCTCTTTCAACGTGATGATTATTTCGTGGTTCAGGATAATGTTCACGATGTCGACCTTCACTATTGTGATCATCTTTCATTCGTAAATTGTGATCTTTAACCGCTTTAGGCTTCGATCTAACATGTTCAATGCTGGGACCAAGAGCGGTAACCTCTTCATCTCCAAGTACATTATGTTTCAATAGTCCAACGGAAACGGGAGTGGTCACTTCGTTAGTAAAAGGTTTCGTTATCATTGAGATCGACGGTGTATTGTAGCCCTCGATTCCAGGCTCATTCGAGCTCATCTTGACACGGAAACCATTTTTATCGGCGATATATTCAACCTTTCGGTAGATCCCGTTAGCGTCAACGTAACCATAAGATCCGACCTTGGCTCCGTCCCCGTCGCTCTCCTCGTGCCGATGCTGAAGGTTACCTTGACCATCTTCAATCTCGTATCCAAATTGATAAGGTTTCTTAATTTTATCGTCATTTAAAGCTTTATAATTAATCTCCAACTAATTAACCACAAAAATAGATAAATTAAAAAAAGAAAACGAAAAAAATTAATCATTTTTGTTTCCATAATTCAAATCAACGAATCATTTAGTAAACAAAATGATCGTTAATTGTGAGATCTTCAATTGAACAATTGAAAAAATTATGTTCCCATAAATAAGCAACAATCAGTTGATTGTTGAAGGCAAAAAAATTACGATTAACAATCAATAAGAATAAACATTTTTTTTTTCAATATGAAATCTCGATTAAATCAATGGGAATCACAATCAACTAATCATTTAGTTTTTAATTGTTACTCTTACTTTCATTTTGAAAGTTTTAAATTTAGTTCAAAAGGCTTAATTGTTTGGAATTAATTTCTTAATTCTGATTCTTCCTGGAATAATCATTTTGCCAAGATTGATGATGATGCTTAATTGTTTTCCACTCATCAACAATTAAACTTTGCCAAAGCTAATCAGTTTCCTGATCAGATAATCAATTGGCAGATCACAAAATATTCATGATTAAGTTAATCAATCTGAAAAAGAGTTAATCAAACTAATCCCAAGATTAAATTGTGACCAGATTAACCATTGATCACTGAGCACAATTAAACTGATTCCCGATTGTGGGTTAATGTTAATCCATAATAATATTTATATAAATTGTTGATGATTAACTTTACAATTAACAGATCAGAAAAGCTCATTAGCCTAACATGTAAATGTTATTATGTGACAATTTGATTTGATCTGATTGTTGATCATGATGATTAACGTTAATGATTAACAATTTATGAGAAAATTAAAGTTGATTCTAATCTTGGGGGAAAAATGATTAACAATTAATTTAATTTTCGTATCAACAATTGATTTAAATTTTGGTATCGAAAAAAAATTGATTATATTTTCCTTTCGTTAACACAATTTAAATGAGACACTTAATTGTGACCAATTTATTAATGATGTTCAATTGTTTTAAAAAGTTTTCCTCTTAATCATAATACTAATTAAGTGTAATATCAATCAGCAACAATTTACCCTTAATTATGATTAAATTGTCATTCAAATTGTTTGGTAAGGTTATCAATCAAATCTGAACCTTCAGCTGATTTAATTGTTATCATATCAATATCGTTGGTTAATTAGTGATTAAAATTAAAAACAATTAACACACTTAATCAATAAGTAATCAATTTGCAATATTGATTATTAATTGAAATGATTAACAAGGAAAATTAAAATCAAATCAATCATCAACTTGAAATATCAACAACAATTAAAATGTGATCAGTAGTTAAAATCAATGATTAATTAATTGTCTACCTTCCGGTTTTAATCAATTAAACTTGTTGAGAATCAATTTTTGTTAATTAAAAACTTTATTCCAATAGGTATGAGCTAATTAATTAATTGTTGATCTTAATTGTTGATTGACCAGAATCACAATTGAACAAAAAATAATTGAAACAATTTTCCCACTAACCTAATTAAATTGGACAACAATTTTAATTACAATCTTCAACAATCAAAGTTAATTAATCATTATCTTTGATCATACAAAGTTATCTTTGATTAGTTTAAGTTTACAATTAGTAAATCATTTTGATTGTCAAACTTTCATTGGAAAGTTTAATTTATATGATTGTTATTAAGATTCAAATCAAAATACAATTAAAGGTTTTCAATCATGATTAACGGTTAATTATTGAATCACGAGGTGAGAGACAATTAACTAATTGTCATGATCAATATTAACAAACAAACATTTTATTGGTCAACAATTAACAACATAGAGTTAAGTTCAAGTTCAACTGAAGGTGATTAAAGTTAATTGTGATTATGTGTCTTGATTAGACTAATTATCATTTAGACTTTAATTGTAAATATTGATTGGGAAACTATTTAGATAAACAATAAATTGTTCAAATCATTTCAATCAGTTTAATTGTGACAAGTGAAGGTGAAGACAATTTAATGATTAAAGATGATCAACCAACACTTTATAATCAAATCGGATTACAATTGGTTAATTGTTTGTCCTCGGTATTGAGATTAATCAACAATCAATCACAACAATAATAATAATTGAAAATATCATTGATTAAATTGTGAAATTAATTAAAATCAAAGAGTTGAAAACAAAAAGTTAATTGTTCATTTTTAATTATCCCAACAAGGTTGAAATTACAATTGGATGATTAGTTAATTGTGATTAACTTAAGACCTAACAATCAAAGATGGTGAAACAATTAAGTTCACCCTTGTGAATAACTAATTATTTGAAAGGTGAACTCAAATCAAATCAAGTTCACAATTAACTTTCTTGATCTTAATGGTTAATTAGTTAATCAAGAAGATTAAGTTAATCAATTGAAAAAAAATCTCAATGAAATTAGTTGAACCATTTCAAGGAGGAAATCATTTAGCAATTTGTTTTAATTGTTTTGTGATTGTTAATCAAATAGTAGGATAAAAATGATGAAGATGATTAACTTAATCACTATCATGATTTAACTTGCCAATCGGTACAATTAAAAAATTGTAATCTATTCGTGATCAATGATTAAAAAGTAGACAATTTTTTAGCACTGATTACATAATATTGTCTCAAATTGTTTACAATTAGTTAATTGTTGAAAATATAAACGGAATTAACTTAATTTATTGATCGTTATAATTAACTAATTAGGTTGATTGAGATATCGGATATCATTCAAATCATTGGGTATCTAAATTGACCTTCACAATAGGTTAATTGTAGTGATAATCAGATGAACTATTTGATTACAATTTACTAATCATAATCTCAATCTAATCTAGAATTTAAATCTTTCACTATTTATCTTAATTATCCCAACAAAAATCAGTTAATTATAATAACTAAATTGTTTCATATCAAATCTTATGTCAAGGTTAATTATAATTCTTAATTGTTATTGATTGATTCTAGATCTTAATCATTGTAATTAAGCCTAATCATTAAGTATATCGACAAGTTGATCAATAAAAAACTGAAATTGATTCACAAAATTGATTGATTATCAATAATTTTACCAAATTTAGCAGATTAAATTGTTAATTATGATTCGGTTGAGTTAATTAAATCATTGAAGCTAATCAACACTCTTTGACTGTCAGATTAACAATATGAAATTAATCATGACAACATTTAATTACTTGAGGGTAATAATAGTTAATTCAAATGACTGAATTATGATCATCTGGATTAATCAAAATTTAAATTAAGTCTCTGCTCAGGTTAATTAACAACAGTTAATCAATTTATTTCACTAATCATTTTTACCTTCTCCAGGGCAATTAACCTAATCACCAATATCTAATTTTAATTCTTAGTTGATTTAATCCAGTAAATCATTATGATGATTTAATCAACAATTCAAGGTTTTAATTGCCAAAGGGCTGATCTTTTTAACGGTTAAAATTAACAGTTAATCAACTACAATTAGCAAATTTCATTTTATATTGATACACAATTAAAGTTAATCCAATAGTATCTTAATCATTTGAATGTTAATATAACAGTAAATTATTAATTGTCTATTTTTAATCATCTTAATATTGATTAAATATACCTAACAATTAACTGAATTATCAATGATATATGTTGATTTTAATTACTTTTAATTGATGATCAATGAATGTTGAGTTCAACTATTAACAATCAATTGATTGGTAACAATTGATGAACAACAATTAAAGGCTAAATTGGTGGTTAAAGGTAAATAATAACTTCAACAATTAACTAAAAAAAGTCACAATTAAATACATCAGACCGTGAAATCCTTTTTAATTGTTGTTATCAATTGATGGTTACAAGTTTTTACGGTGACAATTTAGCAGCAATTAGTAAACAATCAACTCGTAATCTTGAATGAAAACTTTTCTCACCAAAACAATTGAAAAATCAACAACTAAATTAACAATAATAATTAAATTCCAATGGTGATTTAAAAGCTTAACTGTTGGTAATGTGGTCTAATTAATTATCAGGCAAATCAATAAATCTGATCATCAGCTGATTTGGTTGTTGATTTTCAACAATTAAAAATTGAAACAAAAGTTATCCAACAATTTAGGAGATAATCAATAACCGGAAAACAATTTGATTTGATTATTTGGTAAACAGATAAACAATTTGGCGGTTGATTGTTTCCCGATTTTTAGTTAATCATTAACACTTTTAATCACGTTAACTCAAATGATTAGCTGATTATTGCCAATCTAATTGTCGTTCTGATTGTTTCCAGGTTATGAAAATTATGAATATCAATCTACGATCAACATGCAAACACAATTTTCTGTTTAAATTGTTGATTCACAATTAACAGTTAATCATCATCATATAAGAATATTGAGAATCGGATTAAGCTTTGATTTCATCAGCAATCAGAATAAGAAAAAATTAACTAAACCAAATTAAAGTATTGAAATTAAATCAAAATCTAATTTTATGTTTGTTGCAAACAATTTAAATCTGTAGCTAAATTAAATCGTTGAAACTAAATTGCAAACAATTTGATTATATAATCTCAATATGATATAATAATCATAACGACAAGGGGCTAATTGTAATAGGAAAAGTTAATCACAATTAACTGATTAACTCACCTTTTCATTGTCATTTCCTCTATGGTTTTGATTTGATGAAACTTGAACAATTAAAATTAGTCCGAAACAAATTGCTATGAACATTATGGAAACAAAATCCACACCGAAGTTAATTGTTAATAACAAAATTATCTCGATGATGTAACAATAAAATCAGCAGAAAAGGATTAACAGGATTAAAGGATTACGAACATAATATCAAATTGATTTAATATGGAAAACTGGTCGTTTCAATTGTTCAAAGAATCATGTAAATATGATGATTAATCAAATCAATGATTCTATTAGTAAATTGTTATTGTCAACAATCAACGTTGATTTAAGGAATGGAATGATTGTTAGGCTTAGGATGGAGATGAATATAATCTTAATCTGAATCTCAAGTGAGATTTAATCTCCCTCGTTAAAGAGGAAGAGTGGGAGAGGGAAAATAAGATAGAGTGAGAGAGTGGAGAGAGAGAGAGAGAGTTAAAGTGAGGGTGGGTAGGGTGTGAATGAGTGTTTTTGGAGGAGTTACAACCACAAGGTAAGGTTAGTATCCGGTTCTGAACTTTTTGTCGACGAGTTCGAGCTCTTTTTTTACCGTTACAATCGCGTTCACTTTCACACTTCATCATGTAAACTTAACATCAACGATTACCTGAGTTGTTACCTGTTGATGTTATTTTAAGGTAAAAAGCATTTGCAAAATGTAATCCAAACACTTTTATCACTAATCAAATCGATACATTTATTGTTTTTAATTGTTCACTTTTTTGTAACCATTTTTTGCATCTCCTCATGCGAGTCTTTGATTGTTTATTGATTGTTCACAATTTAGAAGCCAAAACTTTTCCATTTGATTTTTTTTCTTCTTCTTCTTCTTCTTCATTTCATCATCTTCAGGAACTTGTTATCGACGCTCTCGAACCAACCTTCGAGTTTCCAATGTTCATCATCATCTATTTTCCTCATCATTTGTGTCGATAAGATCAACAATTAGCATCATCGAAAACTTAACGAATTCTGTTGAACTTTATTGAAGTTCTTTTTCTGGATAATCGAAAATCTATCATTTCGATGATATCGATTATGATTAATCTGATTTTCTTTTTCTCCATCTGAATCTTGATTACAATCAATTCTCACAGGAAACTTGATTGTTGATTTAACTTTTTTCTTCGTTGATTGTAAAGTTTAGGCTTATTGGTGATCTTTTTTCAATTCAATCTTTTGCTTCTGGTTTCCAATGAATTGAATCAACTGTTTAATTGCCACAATCAACGAATCTTAATTTCAGTTGATTAAAACAGTAAATTGATGATTAATATCCGATCCAATAGGAAGTTAATCAATTTGATTCAATTGTAATTAATTTAGAAATATTTTCATTATCAATAGACAGTAAAATCTTAATGATTAAGGTGATTGTATCTTGATCATAATTAGACTGAAATAGGAATTTAGTTAAACAATTAAACTCAAACCTTTTTCCATTATTTCATTTTAAATTGTATGATAACAATTAAATTAACAATAATTACTGATTGTTTCTTGCTAATTGTTTCAGAATTTGATAGGATCGTGACCATAATAATTAATCACTAACAATTAAAACCATTGAAATGACGAAGCAATTTATTTATATGATCATAGCTACGATTATGATTAAATCAGTCTGCCAATGATAAATTGATTAAAATGATGTCAAACTAAACAACGTTAATTGTTGTCTAATTGTGACAATATCTAATCAATCGGTAATGTCATTATCAGTGTGAATTAAATTGTTGATAATATTGATTCTAATTGTGAGATTTACTATTGAACATTAACTTTGTTTAGACGATAAAAAAATATCAACAAGATTATCTGATTGCAGAAATGAAAATGAAAATGAACTCGGTGTTGATTGTTGCCGTTTTGGCCTTAATTTGGTCGGTCAATTTTGGTTATGGTGCTGATATTGTTAATTCTGGAAATATCTTTGACAGATTCAATCCAATCAGGTCGATCGTCGGAGCTCAGCCTTTTGACAACGCTCGTCTTAACGCCTTCACTTTACCAAGTCGGATGATCCAAGGGATGAGTAACATTGCTATGGCTCCATGGCGAGGAAATGACTTCTCAGGTCGCGGCGGTAAAATGCCAAACATGGGTAACCTTTTCAGTGGATTACCAATAATTGGATCGGCTTTTGGAGGACGAGGTAATCGAGGATCTCAAGGTGGTGAATCTGTCAACAATTATGGTCCAATGGCTCAAGTTGAAATGGCTCGAGCTCCTGGTTCAGGTTCTGCTTCCGCTTCAGCTCAAAGTGGTTCGAGACCAAGTGGTTCAGTTTCTGCTTCAGCCTCAGCCAATCTTTCAGGCCAACCAAGTGGCTATCCTTCATTACCAAGTAACTTTTTCTCAACCTCTGGTCAAGGTTCACCATCTTTCCCATCAAACGGTAACTGGTCACCTTACGGTTCCTCAGCTCCCACCAGCTCCAGCCAATCATCTCGTCCTTCGTCATCTCCCACCACAACTTCAGTCTCATCTCCATCAGCTAATCTTCCCTCTATTCCTAATGCTGGTCAATCAACCATGAGTGGTACTTCCAGTGGGCCATCTCAACCTTCCCGATTACCATCAGCTAATCTTGGCCCATCATCAGCTTCAACTTCTCGCCCTGGATCATCTACTCCATCGGCTTCTTCTTCAAGCTCATCATCAGCTTCTATTGATCCTTCACTTGCTCAAACTTTGAGAGGCTTTGGAATTGATCTAAGCAATTTCAACTTCGGCGGCGGAGCTTCTGGTCAATCATCACCCTCTTCATCAGGTGTCTCAGCATCAATTGGATCTTCTGGTCGACCTCAAGCCTCAGCTTCAGCTTCAAGCAGTAGCTCATCTCCTTTCGCCTCACTCATGAGCGGATTCACTGGTCAACCCTCTGGTCAAGCTTCAGCCTCAGCTGGATCATCATCAGCCAGCGCATCAAACTCAGGAACTGGTCAAGCCTCAAACTTTTTTTCAAATCTGTTTAACTATCCATTAACCGGTTAATTGTTACTAATACAATAAATCAAATTAAACAAAATTAAACATTCAAACTAATCGTTTAATCAAATCACCGCATTAAATTAATTATTAGACATTTTCAATCAGCTACAAATCATTCAATTCAACGTCACGATCAAGCGCAATTAAACTAGAAAAAAATTAACCATTTGATTAGCAATTAATCACAACAATTAAGTCGCAATGAAAAAAAAGTGATTTCAATCAACTTAATTTACAAATTCTAAATCTCATTTACAAAAGTTGAACAATTTAATTAATAAAGTTAATCTAAGACCAAGCAATCAATTCACCAGGTTAATAGTTTGACAATTAATTAACTGAAAAAATCAAATTACAGCTTTTTAATCAAGTTGACAATTAATTATGATTCCAATGGGTGAACAATTAACTCGTTAATCATTTGTTAATGAAAAACGTTCAATCCAAATAAACGTTGGTTAATTTTAATTGTTACAATCACGATGTTTTAGTTGATCAGTAGTCACTAATCACTAAGTAACTTTTGATTAATTAACAATTATCATTGGTGACAATTGATTGGCCTTAATCATCCCTAATTTTTTCAATGACAAATCAAATGATCAACAAGTAAAAAATCAATCAAATTAATAATATTAATACAAAAAGTAAAACAAAAGTTAATCAATTTAAATTAAACTTGATCAACGGATCAATAAGTTGACTGTTTTCATTTGAGTTTTAATTGTAATCAATAAATTGTTTAAATAAAGTTACAATTGACCAGAAAATGATACCAGTTAATCATAAAGATTGAATTATTATTAATTGATTACAATTTATCATCGTATCAAAATGTGCAATTAGATATCAATTGATCATTTGGACAATTAAAAGTTAACAATGATACCAAATGAACAAGTAGTTTATTGTAATAATTAAACGATTACAAAACAATTAGCACAATTAATTAGATGACAAGTGATTTAGTTATAAAAAGGGAAGTCAATGTCAATTAGATTTTCTGTTTTCACCAATGGTGCTACTTTTGCTATCCAATTGTAATTAAGTTAATCAATCAAACCCGAAGATGAGGTTTACCTTTGTAACCATTTTCTGCTTTTCCTTAATTGTTTCCTCATCATGGTCACAATCAGTACAGATCCAAGCATCGAATGGCCGAGGATCGGCTTCCGGTTCTATGTCTCTCTCTGGATCTTCAGGTCAATTGATTGACAATTTACTTCACCCGCTTCGACCTTTCCTGGGCGAAGCTGGACACAGGGCTCTTCACTCTGCTATCGAAGGCATCCCAAGGTCGGTTCTAAGTCGAATATCCAATTTAGGTCAACTTTTCGGTTCTCTAATGACCTTCAACCCTTCTAGTATTCCCGTGTTGTTTAACGGGTTTTTCCTGGTGCCTCGTCAATGTTTTCCTCGATTTTACCTTCTCTTGGAGGTGTTGGTTTAAATGCTCTTACGTCAATGGCCAATTCTAACCTTGGATCAGCGCTCACTCAGGGTGGACTTTCATCACTTTTGAGACAAAATTTTCCCGCTTCTTTACGGGAAAATCTTGGTGCCTCGAATTTACCTTCGAATCAAGGATTAAACGCTTTCAATCCAGCCAATATTGCAAGTAACCTTTTCGGTCAAGGAATGTCCAATTTTGCTGGAGTCGCTTCCAGTTTAGCTAATGGTCAACCTTTGTCCGCTTTATTGACTATGGCTGGAGGAGCTGCTGATTCTGTTGGTCGATTAGGTAATTTAGCTTCAAATGGACTTAATGTGGCTTCACAAACAGCCAGTGGAATGACCAATAGATTACCAGGCTCACTTGGACAATTGTCGAATACTTTTTCATCAATGATTCCCAGTGTACCGATGTCAACATCCACCGGTGGTAGTGTGAGTATTGGCGACGGATCTTTGGGCAGATCAGCTTCCTCCCCGTCAGACTTATCTTCATCTAATCTTTCACGTCAACCCCTTGGTTCAAATTACGATTCATCTGCTGGTTATCCTTCACCACCAAGCAGTTCGAGTCAATCGTCTCGTTCTTCATCACCCACTCCCAGTCCTACTTCCTCTTTATCTACTCCCTCAGATGCTTCTACAAGCTCTCTTGACCCTTCGCTTGCCCAAGCATTGAGAGGATTTGGATTTGACCTCAATAGTTTATACTTGGGCGATGGAGCTGGTGGCCAATCACCCCGATCTCCATCACCATCCACCACAACTTCACTTTCTTATCCATCAGTAAGTTCACCCTCAACTATGGGTGGTACTTCCAGTTGGACATCTCAATCTTCCCAATCACCTTCAGCTAATCTTGGACCATCATCGGCTCCAACTTCATCTTCCTCTTCATCTTTCTCAACTTCTTCAAGTTCATCATCAGGATCTCTTGACCCTTCACTTGCTCAAGCTTTGAGAGGCTTTGGGATTGATCTAAGCAATTTCAACATCGGCGGCGGAGCTTCTGGTCAATCATCCCCCTCCTCTCCATCAGCTAATATTCCCTCTATTCCTAATGCTGGTCAATCAACTATGAGTGGTACTTCCAGTGGGTCATCTCAACCTTCCCGATTACCATCAGCTAATCTTGGCCCATCATCAGCTTCAACTTCTCGCCCTGGATCATCTACTCCATCGGCTTCTTCTTCAAGCTCATCATCAGCTTCTATTGACCCTTCACTTGCTCAAACTTTGAGAGGCTTTGGAATTGATCTAAGCAATTTCAACTTCGGCGGCGGAGCTTCTGGTCAATCATCACCCTCCTCTTCAGGTGTCTCAGCATCAATTGGATCTTCTGGTCGACCTCAAGCCTCAGCTTCATTCAATGGATTCATAGGCCAGCCATCCGGTCAAGCTTCAGCTTCAACAGGGTCTTCAGGAATGACCGGTGGACTTAGTTTATCGTTATCAGGTAGTGGGTCAAACTCTGGACCAAATTCAGGCCAAGGGTCAGGAAACGGACGGGAAGGCGGCAGAGGAGGTGGACGGCGTAGAGGGTCAATGTTTTCATCACCTTTGACCAACCTTTTAACCAATAATCCATTAACCTCTTTCTTAAGTGGATGAACAATTAAAAATATTTGAATAAAAAGCAAATTATTTATACGATTTTGATTAAATCAGTCTGCCAATGATAAATTGATTAAAATGATGTCAAACTCAACAACGTTAATTGTTGTCTAATTGTGACAATATCTAATCAATCGGTAATGTCATTATCAGTGTGAATTAAATTGTTGATAATATTGATTCTGATCGTGACGCTTATCTAATATAAACCCCACAACTTGACACCAGTGTTTTCAAATACGCTATGAAAGTACTTTCAAATGACCTTGAAACATGTGTGACCTTTTCTAATTTCACGATTACTTTACAATCAAACTATTCTTCGTGAAGTAACTAATCATCTTAGTCATTATCAAATTATTACTCATGAATATAAATTAATTTTTCAATCATAATGACTTAATATTGTAATTTATTTAATTTGATAATCTTGAAAGTTCAGACCGTTATTTTTGGATTAGGTTATTCAAGCTCAACAACGAATCTTATTCAGCTCAATCTAGTGAATTATCGCATTAAGAATCTGATCCAACTTCATGTGCTGAGTTCCTTTTATCCCACAGGATTTTTTGAAACTTCGTCAACGGTGGGGCGATGACCGCGAATGAAAATTCTTCAAACCCTAACACGAATATTTAAATAGAAGGTATTGGATTTTGAAGCGCCGACGAAAGGCGATTTTACGCTAATTTAAAGCAATTTCTCGATTTCGATGGACTTTCGGACATAGAGCAAAGTATTCGAAATCAATTCTGGAAAATTTAGAAAAAAAGTCAAATATATTAATTGAAACAATCTCTTATTTTAACAGAAAGAAAAAGATAATTACTTATTTAGATGAAATAAAAAAGGGATTTCAATTAACTTTTTAATTTTGTTCTCGTGTACAAAAGTTGAAGTGTCTAATTAATGAGATTCACTTTCACGCTCAACTTGATCATGATTCCAATGGGTAAACAATTAACTCGTTAATCATTTGATAATGAAAAACATTCAAGCTCACAACACGTTGGTACAATAATCTTGCTTACAATCAATATGTTGCTAATCAAAAGTCACTAAGTAATTAGTTTTACTGATTAATTAACAATTATCATCGATGACAATTGATTAGCCTCAATTGTCCTGAATTTTTTTCAATGTCAAACTGATTAACAAAAACAAAAACAAAGTCTAATTTGCTGATCATATTCAAAAAAAAGGTAAACAATTTAAATTAAAAGTTCGAGTATAATAAAAATAATCAAAAATTCAGGGAATCAATCTGAAAATTAACTAAGCACAATCAATATCTTTTTAATTTCATGTAATTTTTTTCTTAAATTAAGTTACAATTGATCTAAAAATAGTAATACTAGTTAATCATTAGGTAGAATGAATTAATTATTACAATCAATCATTCAATCAAAATGACTACTGCCAATAGGACAATTAAACTTTAACAATGATCTCTGTTAAATTTGTTTATTGTAACAATTAGAGCAAATAATTAGATCAGAAAAGTGATTTATTATTAGATGAGAATATAAAAAGAAAGTTAATATCGATTAGAATTTTCATTTTAATCATTGGTGTTTATGTTCAGTTCTTATTAATTGTGATCAAGTTAATCAACCAAATTTAGAAGATGCGATTTACCATTGCAATAGTTTTCTGCTTTTCCTTAATTGTTTCCTCATCATGGGCACAATCAACCAGTTCAATGCCAAACTCTGGTTCTTCAGGTCCGTCGATTGACAGTTTACTTCATCCACTTCGACCTTTTCTTGGTGAAACTGGACACAAGGCTCTTCACGCTGCTATCGAAGGGATTCCAAAGTCAGTTCTGAGTCGAATATCCAATTTAGGTCAACTTTTCGGTTCTCTAATGACCTTTAATCCTTCCAGTATTCCCTCGTTATTCAATCAAATCTTTCCAAATGCTTCGTCAATGTTATCTTCGATTTTACCATCTCTTGGGTACAGTCCAAGTGCTCCTGTTTCGAGGTCTGGTCTAGAACCCTCAACATCTACTCGATCTGGATTTTCATCATCTCCATCAGAATCACAGTTTAGACGAAACTCTCCAACTTCCCAAAGGGAAAATCGAGGCTCTTCGAATTCACCTTCGAACCAAAGATTTAACTCTTTTAATCAAGATTACAGTCCAAGTGATTCTACTGGTCGATTCAGTAATCTCGCTACAAGTGGATATGATAGGACTCCAGAAATGGAAGATGAAATCGATCGATTATCGAGCTTATATGGTCCATATTCTGGCTCCAGTGGCCCGACTGTATCAAATAGACCAGGAAGTCAACGGGAATCTGAACGAGAACGAGAACGAGAACGAGAACGAACGAGAACGAGAACGAGAAATAAGACGCGAAAGTAGACGTGAGAGTAGACGTGAGAATAGACAGGAAAGTAGCCGAGAAAGTGACCGAGAGAGAAGGTCAATGTTTTCGTCGCCCTTTACAAATCTTTTATCGAACAGTCCATTCGCCCCCTTCTTAAGTGGATGAAAAATTAACAAAAAAGAAACGTAACTTATGAATAAATTAACTTAATTGCTAAGAATAAATAGAACCGTTTATTTATTATTCATTGTAAACATTGAATCGAACTTTTTTCTTGGTTAACTGCGGTGATTAATAAATTTGTTTCAAAAAATTGAATTATTCTATACATTTATCTAATACATGATTTGAATTGTTTAGGCCAAATAATTAAGTTAGTCAATGATGTTGAAGAGATCATTTTTAATGAATCATATTTGGTGATTTAATGGATCTTGAATCAGTGATTACAGGTAAGTACAGGTAAAGTCGATTCGCCTGAAATAAATTTTCAATCCTTTTGGGATAATCTCGAGAACAACAAGGAACAGAAACTGAACAGTTCTAATCAATTCGACTGATCAACTTGAACATCATTTTATTAAAATTGAGAAAATCGATGATGAACGAATCCAGCAAGACAATTAGGTAGGTCAGTTCTTTTTTCTATCAAAAATTGTTCGAAATTTTTCATTATCTAGAATAGAATCAGAAATTCTGATTCAGAAACGACCGTCGAAATATTTATCGACAATCAGAATTTAAACTTGGCGCGTATCGGTAAAGATTCGAATCCAACATCTACTCAGTAGAAAATTCGGATCTGTTTATGTTTTTCTCTCATGTAAATTGTCAAATAATTATTTTAATCTTTTCTTTTGTTTCTTTTTTTATTATTTTATTTTATTCTATTTTATTTTAATTAATGAATTAATTATATTTACTCTTCTAAAAGGTGGATAAACAGAAAATCATTCCAAAAATGAATCCACAAAGATCAATGCAACAACTTGTACAACAACAGCAGTCACAAATTCAACCACAAATCCAACCACAACTTCAACCGCAACTTCAACAATTCCATCCACAGCAATTACAACAACAACACCAGCAGCAGCTGAATCATCATTCATCTCATCTACTTCTACCCCAACCTCAATATCAATCACAATATCAATTAGCACCACAATTTCAACAGCCTTTCCCCCAACAATACACTCAACTTAACCAGCAACATTTATTACATTCCCAACCCCAATTACCACAATCACAACCACAATCCCAACCACAAGCACCACAAATGGTTCAAGCATCGTCATCAATCGAGGAGGCTAAAAGATTTTTACAAAGCACAAACGCTTGGTGTGACAATGATACTCCTCCCCAACCACCCCCGAGAAGACGATTCACTTTTAACAATCATGTTTCACCCATGAATAAATTTCCACCAACCAGGGAACAACAACAATCAGTTTTCTATTTGTGTAATAACACTGAGACAAAGGTATAAAAACTCTCTCTCATTGGTTATTTTTCTCTAACGGTTAATTGTTTCCCTTCATTTGCCTTATTTCCTTTTTCTCTGATTTTGTAACTAATCCATTTTTCTCTTTTTCTCTTGTTTTTACTTTTGTTTTTCTACCTTTCTCATCAAATCGATCATCATCTTCATCTTCATCATCATCAGCCTACAGTTAATCCTTTATATCCAAATGGTCAACACGATAAATTAAAGGAGATCCACGAATTAGCCTTTAAAAGTCCTGGTCGAGTGAAGGAACATGCACAAAAATTGAACAAAATGGTTTCCGAAAGTGAACTTAAACCTCCAATGCCTGTTACTATTAACTCTTCACCCACTCCGGTAATTAAGACAACCGGAAGAACCAAATGTCCGAGTAGAGAGGAAGACAATGATTCGGCTTCCGTTCAACCGTTTGATCCTCTAAGGAGGAAATGGATGTTGACAACATCTAATTGTGATTACACCGAGATGGTTTCCCTGTTGAAAAAAGATGCCACTCTCGCTGGATTAAAGGTGATCCTTTTTTTTAAATCACAATCGTTGATTATGTGAAATCCAATCAATTTTCCCACTTGTTGTTGATTCATCTCACATTTACATGTCAATTTTTGTTTCCCTAATTACCGATTAACATCAATTTGATTCAGTTTATCCATAATTTAGCTATGGATCAATTTTCATTATCACTCAATTGATTTACTAATTAAGTGTTTATCTTTGATTTTTTCTTCATGCTCATCTCATATTCATTCAGGATTTCACCTCAGTAAGTTGTTTAATTGTTCAACGCTAATCTCTTAATTGTTATGATGATTTTCTAATCAATTTCTTACAAAATTTAATTTCATTTTGACTCTAATTTTCAGGGGGTAAGTGTCAATACAAATTTGCGTTTGTCAATCAATTTGGCAACAATTAACTTTAATCTTTTTTCACATCGTATCGTCGTCATCCTAAATTGCTCATTGATGGTTTTTTTAGTATGTAAGTAAATGACGATCTACTCTAATTAAATTTTAATCTGACTCTTTAATTAATGACTAATTTTAATCCCTTAATCAATAGACGGCTTTACATTGGGCAGCTAAATTTGGAAAACCTGAGATCATCAAGTTAATTGCTGGAACCCATGGTGTCAATGTAAACAAAAAATCTGTAAGTGATTTAATACCAATATGGGAATAGATTGTTTTTTTTTGTTCAATTTAACAATTTGTCCTTGTCATAAATTGTTACAATTTAATAGATTATCATGTCAATTAGCAATCATCATAATCATCATAATCATGATTGTTTTTCAAGTTGAATTTAAATTACTTCAATTTATCAATCAAAAAAACTATTGCTTAACCTTGGAGTTTCAATCATCATCATTATTGTTTGATTTTGTTTTGATTTTAAATCTCAAGGATTATAACAATTTACTAATTATGTTTCTCTTTTTATTTTGTTTTGTTTCAACAGCACGTAAGTTCATTACTCAACACTCTGGATTAATCAGATTTAAATTGTTATTATTAATACGATTATTTGAAGAAATGAATTGGAATTGAAAATTGAACGTAGACAGAAAAGCTGATTTAACAACAATGATAAATACATGATGACATTTGATTGATGTTGATCAATTCAAACTTGTAAGCTGGATTATACTATTGGAGATGATTTAAAATCATAATTCAAAAGCTCAGGGAAAAAAACCACACACAAACAAAACGATCATGATAATAATCATCCATTAATTGTTCAATATTGTTTACCCCATGATATTCAGCTGAAGAATCTTCTCTCTCTCAAAAAAAAATCTGTTAATGATGATTAATTGAATACGATATGTTTTTCATGGTGTTTCCAATGGATCAGGAGTAAAATCATCAATTGAATTGGTTACCTGTTGCCTGATGAGAGAGAGAGAGAGTCACAAAAAGAAAATAACTAATCAACTTCCTATCATCATCAACAATCATTTGCTAATGATAATCATCTTTGATCTCATTTGCTTTCTTAATGATAATCAGGACGAACGCCTCAGATCACTCAGAGGGTGAGAGAGAAAGAGAGAGAGAGAAAAACATAAACAAACAAAATGATGATGATGATGAGGTATCATCATCATCATCATCAGGTAAATCTAGGAGAAAGAAAGATAAAAGTAAGAAAACTAAATGTAAGAATTTATTATTTATTAATCCAGTTAGTTTTGCCCAAAAAATTCAAGGTAACCAACCAGCTAAATCATTTTACTTGTTGGTTACATGATCCTTAACTTATTTATCCAGCTTAATCTTTACCTGGATTAAATATGTTTGAATCTCTTTTTTAATATTTTACCTGAAAAAATTAACTTTAAACTACAGTAGCTCTCAACTGTTAACGATTACACTGATAACTTTACCTGAATGGAGCAACTTGATAGCAGCAACTAAAACCTGTCTTAAGCTCAGCATGATTCTTGCACCATGCATAGTCACCAAAGCTGATTTAATTAACCACCAATGAAGTTAAATAGTTACCATTTAAAACAAACTTATCATTTATCAATTGTAATTGTCCATCTCTCTCTCTCTCTCTCTCTCTCTTATTACTTATCTTAGTTTTTTGTTATTATTTGAAAACATGATGATCAGTATCATCATGATAATCATTATTGTTATTTTAGTGTTTAATTTATGTTGACTGTTACCTGTTGATTGTATCAACAATCAACTTTACCACAATCAATTTAAATTACCCTAATCACATTAGTTGACTTGTTTTGACTTTTTCTTGTCCAGGAAATATACATATTATTATTGATCAACTTGTTTGATTATAATCAACAATTTTATCATTCAATCAATTTGAAACCTTGACAATCACCATTAACTATCATCATTAATTTAATCCAGTTTATGTTTCTCTCTCTCTCACTCACTCACTCACTCACTAAAATAATGATTGAGTTTATTGATTTCCTTTGGTTTTAGGTTTCAAATGATAACTTTTTTTTACTCGTTTTCTTTTTGAAAACTTTATCAACAAGATAATGATTATCGATTAAATCAATTGACTTGGAGATATTAATTTCAATGGTTAATCCGTTAAAATTATTAACTGATAATCTCCTCTGAAAGCTTAATCAACTCTCTAATTAAATAACTATTAACGTTATCAATTTGTTTAGTAACAAATTGACGTTTAACTAAACTCATCACCTTTCACCAAATCAACTGTCATCTCTCATCTGATTATCTAAAAATTTCACATGGTAACTTGAGTATTATCATCAATTTAAATGATCGTATTATTATCATCACGATATATTTAAATTCAATTTGTTCACCTTAATTTACATTGGATAATTATCAATTAATCACTTAAACCCAATATCCTATCACGGATAAAGAGCCATTACTCAATTGTCTCAAATTTCTTGAAATAATCAGTAGAAAATCATCTTGAAATTAACTTGGAATCACCAAATTAATTTTAGCTAAAAAATTCACTAATTATGATCAAATTAATTACTTCTCTCTCTTTCTATTTATCTCCAGGGTGGTTATACTCCCCTTCATCTTGCAGCGATTCATAATCATGAAAATATCATGGAACTTTTGAAAATCTATGGTGCGAAAAATTCTCAATTCTCTCTCGTTTCGATTAATATTATAATTGTTATTTCCTATTATTCATTTTGTTGTAATTTTATTTCTTTTCCTCTTGATTATCTCCAGGAGCCGATACTTCACTTCGAGATCATTCCGGTAAACTGGCTGAACAATATACGACCATTCGTAGTCCACTTCGAAGTTCAAATAGTAACAATTCCAGTGGATCGTTACGATCAAAAGCCAGTAACGGATCATTAAATGGGTCTCAACGTAAGATGTTTATCACAACCGAGGATTACAATAACAATAACGCCTCGACACCTAATCTGTCAGCACTGTCACCGACCTCGTCGACTTCACCATCATCTCCAGTCTCTCGAGCCTCTTCACTAACCCGTAATCGTAATCGTATCCGTCAAGCTCATCGTAATCTCTTTGGAAAGATTCCAACCCAATATAAGACTCTAAAATTTTAATCCAATCCAATTAACTAATTTAATCAACAGTCAATCTCATTAACAGTTAACAATCAACCAAGAATCACAAGAAACAAACAAACAACCAAAAAAAAACCCACAACATATAAAAGCAACTCAATCAAAAACCTTTATAATTAACTTTATCATAACCTTAATCATTTAATGTTAGATTTTTATTTTCTCACTTACCATGTGATTAAGATAATCTTGATTAGTTGATTATTTGTAAATTAACTAATCACTTTTTACACATCCCACGATAGTTTAACAATTAACCAAATCACCAAAGTAAAACTAACCGAGAGCTTTAAACAATCAACACCAACATTGAAACCTTTTAACTAAAATAATCCTTAAATTATTACATTCTAATCAAAAACAAAAAGCTCAATGTTATATATACACTATATCTTAATTGTAAACAATTTAATCTAATTGTTTAATAATTGAAAAACTTTCCAAGGTTCCTAAATTATAAGTCTAATGAAAGTGAAACAATCAATTTAAGAGATACATGAGATTGAAACGATTCCCTCCAAACAATTTATTTTTACATAAAATTAACTAATAAACTAATTTTCACACAAAATTTACTAACAATTGGACGAGAAAATTTAATCAACTAACAAAAATTAACTAATTAAAAAACAGTTAATCAACTTTTCTTAAATTGTTCTGTTTACAGTTAAACACAGTTCCAGTTCATCTCATAGTCACACCAAACTATCAGGTAAACAAATTTACTAAATTATGATTATATATAAAATTGGTAAATTAAATCAATTGGCTTAATTGTTACTCTAATTAAAACAGATAAAGGTCGTTCCGAATCATCATCATCTTCATCATCAGCATTCATAAGAATTGGATCATTAAATAAGATGCGGAAAACTGCGGCAGCAATTAAAGGAATTAAAAGTTGGGGATCAGCTGAATCAGTTTCCGATTCTGTAAGTACTCAAGTTTATTGATTAAGTTTCTCTAATTGCTAATCAATTTATAGTAACAATTAATAATCAATTAAAACAATCGGTTAAAACTTGAACCATTTCAGAATACGATGCCACCGCCAAAGAGTTCATCCAAAAAGAAGCGAAGTAAAAAAACTTTGAGGTAAATAATTAAAATTAATTTTTCTCTCTCTCTCAATTTGATTTAATTATTAATCCCAATTAACCTAAATTATTATGAGAATCCGATTATCTTGTAATTGATTGGAAAGCTTTGTCAACAATTAATTTCCAATACGATGATTGAAATGAAAAAGGATTGAACCTTTGATAATTTCCAAAGGTAATCAAAGTTAATTTAGTTTGGCGTGTTTTCAATTTTATCTTAATTAATTGAAACACCGTAAACATTAATAGTAATTTAATAGTTACCTTTTTCTCCCACTCATAATCTTAATCATGTTGATTCTTAATCACAATCAATTGAAACGATCAACTTAAAACTAGATTAACTTTTTTTTCTCATCTCTCATAACAACTTAGTCTTTCAACACTTTTAATTTTTCATCCCAATCACTTTGATGTTTAAATCAATCAATTAATGTCTAATTCCTGATTACTTCGGGTAACACAATCAATTAACAATTATCAATTATCAATAAAGTCAATTAAGTAGTTAGAATTGCTAAATAATTGACAATTATACCGTTACCGTTAATCAATTGATGAATAACTATTCAATTGAAAGGGATAAGATTGATAATAAACAAAAATAAAGTAACAATTAAAAGATTCCCCAGTCTAATCAAGATTAATTGTTATGTTTTCAGATTAGATTTTGGTTTGATCACAGCAATTAAGATATTTATTATATGATATAGATAGTTAATCCAGTAACTATTAATGTTTATATATACACACACAAAAACTGATACAATTTAATATGTTAATTGTTGGTGATTGCGAGAGAAATACAAAAAAATTGTAAAGGTGAAAGAGGAAACAATTTAATCTCGTTACGTGTAAGTATTGATTAAATTGTTATTATCAAGCAAAGTTAATCAAATAGTCACAATAAAATTGTTCAATGATGATGACAAAGAGTAACAATAATATTAAATTGTATCAAAAGGCTGGGAAACATTAATGGTCAAGCTGATGGTTATCATGATGATGCTCATCAATATTATAACATTATCATGATTATGAGAAACATATATTCATGAAACGATGAAAATATATATAAAATTGTAATGAGTAATCAGATGATGAGGGAAGATGAAGACAAAGTCATCATGATGATAACCACGATGATGATTATGATCACTGAATAACCAAAAACAAAGCCAAGCAACAAAGTTGGTATAACATTTTATCAGAAAAAGGAACAGAAAATTTCATATATAATATATAATGTATTTTATACCGATAAGATTGTTATCTGAATCGGTCTAGCATAACTATTACTGGACATTACAATTGATTACAATGACCACCAGGACCCATTCATATACACCAGAAATTTAGATGAACCTCTTTGATAACAAGTTAATAACCATAATAATAATGATTGTCATTATTACTCTGTTATTTTATCATGATTTTCATGATCACATTTAATGTGCAATGAGTGTGTGTTTTTTTTGTCAATAATGGATTGGCTACTTATCATCATTCCATCATCATCATCATCATCATCTTCCAACAAGAGTATATCATGAATCGTGCTCAGCAAATGAGATAGACTCATTTTCCGATTCAATCAGTTACATTATCTTCCTTAATCATATTCCTATAACAAACTAATTCATTAATTGTTATTACTTTAATGTCTATCTATGTTTAGATATAAACACTTGCCCATTTTCATCAGCCATTAATATCCAGGTATAGATATAAATTGTATCCTTGATAAACTTTTAATCCTCATCACTTTTAATTCACTTCAATCTCACGCAGTTATAATGAACAAAAAATCTCGAATTAAGATGATGATGAGTTTTTTTTGCTTCTTCTTTTTCTTCCAGCTGATGATGATAATGATGATAATCTTTATCAACTATCTCTTTGTAATAAGAATTATTTTAAAGGTGATCTCTCTCTCTCTCTCCAGTGAAGTTTAATTGAAATGAAAACTTGAAAGATTCATGATTAACCTGATGTTTGATGTTTGATTATGATGATGATGAATATGAGATTTGATGATTTCCTTGATTGTATACAAATAATATTCTGTTAAATTTTCTACTTTCTATCATTGATTATCATCAACTAATCACTCAGGGTGGTCAAGGGTGATTCTCTCTCGAGGTAATCATCATAATCATCATAATTTGCTGTCAATTTTCTGGTTTCAAATATTACACATTGATTTTTGTAGCTTCTTAACTTTTTCTTGTTAAAGTTACTTTTCCTACCCACCCCACCTCCAGTTCAGCCGCTACTCCATCCATTTCCACCCTCCTCCTTGTTACACCATCATGTTTTCAACCTCTTGACCTCTTCTGTATGTGTGTTCATCCTCATCCTTATCAATTTGCTCTCTCTCTCTCTCTCTCTGATCACTATCACTTTTCACTCTGAGGGCCAACTCCCAGTTTCTTATTTTCCTCCGCCAGCATCACCACAAAGTTACACAGTTACACCTCTGTTAATCAACTGATCACAATCAACATTTGCAAATTAACCAAGGGCAAAACCAAGTTAAATTGTTTCAACAATTTACTTAATTACTATTGACTAGTCTTAACTGACATTTTTGCCACTTTTAAAAACTTTACCTCATCATTATTTACAATGACAAAAATAGCATCTTCATCCCAATACATTTTCACTTTATATCTCTGATATTTAACATGTTAGTTAATTAACTTTAACCACGTCAACGTTAAATCATTGTTAGATAGTCCATTATCATTATCGTTTTAAATTAATTAGATGATTATATTGATTTGTTTGATTTTGTCAAGAAACAAAAGTCAAACAATCACAGTATCTAATTGATGATTATTTTACAATGTCTAATAAGTAATCAACTTAATCAACCTCTCAAATTGATTATCGATATGTAAACATTGATGGAAATGTAAATTTCCAAATCAAATGAACACTGAGACAAATTGAATCAGTTACAATTTACATGAACAATTTAAGAAACATTTTCCAGTCTGATGAAACAACAAAAGGTATTGACAAAATCTCAACAATAAACCAAATTGATTGACAGTTAGTTGATTGTGATAGTTACTATTTTTTTCACCCACTGGAAGACTAACCTTGTTTACCTTTCGATTTGCATGTTTCCCTTTACTTTTACGATTATTCCGTTGGTTGTAATGTTCAATTCGAGCCTCGATTTCATGGCTTGTATACGCTTGTCCCTCGTATTGTTGATTCATCACACTCTCCCTCATGTCATGTCTTTGCACCCACAACAACAACTACAACAACAACAACAACATTGAGCCTCCTCCTCATAGTAAAAACAGAGACACAGACCCAATACAATTTCTGCTATATGGATATGAGATTATGATGATGATAACAGAGACAAAATTATCTATCAAGATCTCTCTGTATCTGTCCATCAATTATTTGCTCATTTAGATTACGATTAAACTACTAACCCATAGCATTCAATTGAATATTAGATTAACATACGCTTTAAATGATAGTTAGATTTATAGTTGATCTCTATAAAATTGAATAGCCTCCATCTTTGTGTCACCCTTGATAATGTTAATGGACAAGCGTGACACACACTGTATACTCATATTATTATTATACTCTAAATCTATTATCATCATCATCTATATTAATATCATTCAACTGTACATGTTATACATTTACGATTAGCATACATCTTGTTTTAATATCAACAGAAAGATGAGTTTTATCATCATCGTCATCATCATGCTCTGTACAATTATCCCATGGACACGTTATATCTGTCAATCAACCTGGAAGCTAAATATCTGTGTCACTTTAATACATATTTACCACGGTGATAATTATTTGTCAATCGGTTGAGTTATTGATTGTTTACAATTTAAAATGAATTTTGTTTTTCCACCAACGATTTAACTTATAAAACCCCGAATCCAAGATGACAATCAGTTAATAGTATATAACTAATATCCTTTATTTATCCCTGATTAAACATGATTGACCAGCACTGTTAATGTAAACGAGTCACTGACCATCTAACAAATGACCAATTATCGTTATCCTTTTTTTTGATTGACCATAAATCAGTTATCATCATCATCATGTTTTATCATGACGATAATCAAATTAACTGATTAACCAAACCTTTAAAACTAACCTTAACTATTAATACATGAAGATGAATTCTGATGATGATAAACTTGAAATTTTTTCTTTCATCATGTTCAATTGAATTGAAATATTTTCCAATTGATTGAATGACAAATGATGATGACGATGATTATTCATTGAAATGAATCAACAAAACAAACAAAAAACTCGCAAACAAATTGCAATTAATTAACTCTCTCTCTCTCTCTCTCTCTCTCAGCAAGATAAATCTCTTGATGAATGTGATACAAAATGATGAGAAGATTTTGTTTTTTTTTTCTTTCATCAATTGGAAACATTTAAATTTTTACAAGATTACAAATAGATTACCATTCCATCAGCTGATCCTCTTTGTCCAATGTATCTTTTTGTTTATAATTTATCATCTTGTTTTCATCTTCAGCACACCACCAATGGATAAAATTGTTTCCGGTTCAAAAGATTCCGATTCTGATAGTGCTTATGGCTTTTAGCTGATAACCTTGAACCTGCAAATAAGATTACGGATACAAGATGAATCCCATGGATCTCTATTAATCTTGATCATCTTCATGTACTTATGGCTTCAGGATCTGTTGGTCTCTTGAGGATTGTGTCCGATTACCTTAAAATAGCATCAAACTTATGGTTTACTTTTAACGAAAAGGAAAACGATGAAAGTGATGACCATCATGATGGCGATAGAAAGAGATGATAACTTTTGTTTTCCTGTTATTATCCATATATATATATACACAAACTCTCTCAATCATCTTTTACCTAATTTTTTTTGTTCTCTTTCCTTAAATTTTAAGAATTTCTCTTCTCTTTTTCAGTATTTTGTTTACCTGAGAGAGAGAGAAAGTAAAAGATGATCCGGATGATGTTGCAAATACATTCCTTATTTTTAATCTTCTCGCAAAAAACTTTCACCTCAAAAATTTTCTTTGTTGTTTAGGTCACAACAGTTCGAACCTCGAACTTGTCTTCTAAACATTAATAACCTATTCGTCTTAAGCCAATTATCACATTCCCTCCTTTTCACTCCTACCTTGTCATACTTAAGACTTTCATCATCTCATCGACTCTCTCTCTCTCTCTCTCTCTCTTTGATTTCTTTTTCGAAAACAAAAATCTTGAGAAACTTTTCTCTATATACTTACATATAGAGATGATGAATTGGGGAAAAACTTGAAAGCAAAAAAAAAATATTCTTATTCCGTCCGATTTTTAAATAACTCTCCAAGAGTTTTGTCATCATCTTCATCCTTCTCACTCTCTCTCCTTTTCACCACATCCCCTCCTCCTCCTCCTCATCCTCATCTTCCTCCTTCCTTCTTAATCTGACAACTTCTTAATACTTTTGTAAGTCAACCCAAGATAACAACAACAATCTCATCCTAATCTGTCCATGAAGACAAATGATTGGAAACAATAATTCAATCAATTCAATACATATAATGATTATCATCCTCCTCTATCATCATCATCATCAACAACAACAACAATAATCCAGAGTTCAACTCTCAGCTTGATTGTTTACCAATCATTTGTCTTACCTAAAGTATTATCATTGATATAATCCAGCGTCAAAAAGATTCAAATTGAAAAGGGTCATCTCTTTATCCTCTGTTAATCAATCCAGTTAATCCAGTATGTAAATTGTTTATCATTTATTACTTATGAATTGAGATGATATTAAATGATTATCATTAAAATGAATAGAAACACATGGTTAATATACAGAATTGTATATATAATATGAAGATGGATATTGTTTCCATAATCAAGAACAATCAATTTTGACAATCGCTAATTTGTTATCATAACAAGAGCTACACAACAACAACAACAACAACAACAACAGGATCAACAAAGGGATAAACGGAAAAACAGAAAGCTGAAGATGATAATGATGATAAGAAAGAGAGAAAGAAAGTAAATGGAAAGGAGGATTATCTCCATTGACTCGATCGTCAATATCATCTTTTAGTACCCTTCAATTGTCCGTTTAAATCTCTATGTATATTTATCATTAAGAATTTCTCCCAAAGGAGTTGTTGATGATGATGAAAGAGAAAGACACAGAAAGAGAATGGAAAGATTTTCTCTCATTCTCTCTCACATGTTCATCTTTGTCATTATCTTCCTCCATCCCTATCACAGGTATTTGTTTCCTTTTACATTCCACTTTTACCTTATATTATATATTCATCTTTTATTATCTTTATCTTCTTCTTTGTCTCATCTTCCACCCACTTTTACCTCATCTTCATCTTCATCTTCCAGTTCTCTTTCTCTTTCTTTTTCTTCATTTTCACTTTGTCATCCTCATTGCACCCGAAAAGCCCTTAATCTCTATGTGTTTATTGTACTTAACTGATGATGATGATGATGATTATGTTACCTTTATCATCCTCATCACCATTAAGCATATGCTTTTTGATTTGTTTCACTCTTTTAATATTTTTTACTTTTCTCATTAAACTTGATCATCTACAATCATAAAACTTTTGTTTTAATTGAACAATTAAATCTAATCATCTTAAGATAATGATTACTAACAACAAAATAAAACAATCAAATTAACAATAATCACAATTTTAAGGTCAATATAACAATTTAAATTGGTTGGATAATTTGGTTCAAAAATGATCATTGAAATGGATGCAATTTAATTAGTAAATTTATTGAAAACAATTAGACTTGAATTTTGGTTAACTTTAATTCAATTATTATGTACAAGTTAATTATCAGTAAAATGGATTACGATTGTTGATTAAATTGATCATCTGATCGATTGATTGTTGAAGAAAACAAGAAAAAAGAAAAGGTAAGAAAATATCTTAGGGGTAAAAAAGTAAAGAAGCTTAAATTGTTAATCATTTTCACAATTAGTTGATGATGTCGCTAATTCAACAATTGACCAAATCCTTGGTTTTGAAGTGCCTATGGGTTGACCGTGACCATTAGAAGCCGATTTACTGTTCTGGTTGTGGTCAATAGTGACACTTGTTGACGAATGCGGTGGTGAGGATGAATAAGTTAATGAGTTTGTTGGTGATGATGAATGATGAGCTGAATGATTTTGGTTAAACGATGAAATTTGTTGTGAAAGTGGATGAATTCGTTGGCTAAAAAGATGCTGTTGATGATGATGATTATGATGATGATTATGATGAATACCAAGATGGCCAGGATAAGTTGATAAAATTGTCGGTTCAGAATTTGTTTCATCCCGTTTGAATCGTTTCTTTTCAATTGAATCTGAAGATGAATCATAATCATCAACAAGTAGTTCGGGTTCTTTAGATCTACTTTCATTTAGAGAACCATAATCACCTTCTTTACAATTATCATCTTCTTCATCTTCATCGTCATCACATCGATTTCGAGGTGACCAAGTCATTTTGTTTTCCTTTTTTAACCTTCGACGAGCATTGGCAAACCATGTCGACACTTGTGTCAAAGTCATCTGAGTGATTATTGCTAACATTACTTTTTCTCCTTTAGTTGGATAGGGATTCTTCCGATGATCATTAAGCCAAGCTTTTAGAGTTGAGGTCGTTTCTCTAGTGGCATTTTTCCGTCTCGAACCATTCAAATCATATCCATTTCTTAGCATCGGATAACCACCAGCTAGAATTGCTCCTTCATATCCACCATACATTGAGGCATAAGGTGGAAGTGATCTCCACGCTTCCATATTTTCCTTTGAATCGAATCCAATTCTCGGGTGAACTGAATAAAATGGGTGCAAAGGTGGATCATGACCTAATCCTATTGGAAACGGAATCCCCACCTGAAGTAAATTTGATCCACTGGAAAAATTAACTGGTGAAACCACTGGTGTGGGTACTTTAATTGAAGAACACCCTGAACCACCATCACCATTACTATCACCATCAACACAAACACTCACACAAGGTATACCATTGGTCACCATTTCTGGTAAAAGTTGATTACTTGATTAATTGATTACTATTATTTTAAAAGTTTCGACGAACAGAACAGAAAAGTGTAAACACAGAAATGAACATTAACATACAGTAGTATGTAGCAACAACCAGAGCAAAACAAGTTATGATTGTAAAAGAATTCAAATCCAAATTAAAGCAATCAAATAGAAGAACTGACCTTTGACACTAGAGTTCGACACATTCTAACCAATAAAATTCTACGGTGGAAAGAAATGGGAGGCTTCTTAAAGAGAGAGAAGATTTTCAAGTAAACATTCAAAACTTTTTTTTTTCTTTTCTTCGATTTCATTTGGTCTATCAAAACTTTATTAGAACTTTTCGAATAGCAAATAATACAAGAGGAAAAAATAATGAACAGGAAAAAATGATTTTCTATTCGAAATTTAAAAAAACCTAATAATTGATATTCGCTCGATGATTAACTTTGAGTATTAGATTAACCCGATAATCAACATTGATTATTGAAACTCAATCGAAACTTAAACTTTTAATTGTTGGCTTACCTTTTTAACTCAGACACAGTTAATTAACTTTGTGTTGATCAACTGATGATGATGATGTTACCTTTATCTTATATTAAACTTGATCATCTACAATCATAAAACTTTTGTTTCAATTGAACAATTAAATCTAATCATCTTAAGATATTGATTACTAACAACAAAATAAAACAATCAAATTAACAATAATCACAATTTTAAGGTCAATATAACAATTTAAATTGGTTGGACAATTTGGTTTAAAAATGATCATTGAAATGGATGCAATTGAATTGGTAAATTTATTGATAACAATTAGACTTGAATTTTGGTTAACTTTAATTCAATTATTATGTACAAGTAAAAGTTAATTATCAGTAAAATGGATTACGATTGTTGATTAAATTGATCACGCAATCGGTTAATTGTTGATCAATTAAAGTCTAATTGTAAACAGAAACCTTGATATAAGAAACGCGAAGGAAAAAAAAAGTAAAAAGTTGTAATTCTTAAAATGGATGCTCGAATTTTCATCGAATTTGTTTAAAAAGAGAAAAAAACAAAATTTGAAACATCTCATTTATTAGAATAATGTTTGTTTTTCTCAATAACAGTTCTAGACTAATGAGGATGATAAAAAGCAATAAATTCTTATGGGACAGGAAGTGTTATCGATATTTAGTGAAAATGTTAGAACAAAGTTTCAACCAAGGGCGCCAAGTGTACTCCGGTTTAAAATTATTACTTCCCCTTGTAAGCAAATGGGATAATCACCCAAAGGAATGAAATTACATAGACAGTTAGTGGCGAGATTGTAAAAGCGAATAGTATTTTTGTTACTTCGAAAAAGCCAAAAAAGTTCTCATCATTATCGAAAAGCGCAAGCAAAATGAAATCAATCAAACCACAATTAAGCTCAATCATAAATAACACAACTTGTCTTCCTTATCATCTTAATCTTAATCATCTCAGAATTATTCGTACGAGTTAATCTTTAATCTCTTATACAATTGATGTATACACAAGTTAAGGATTTTCATGGAAAAACAAACGTGTTAAATGATTACAATCAAATTTAATTGAAATTAAAGTGAACCTTGAAGATGATAGTGTTGTCCATTATCATGAAGATGATGATTACTCATATTAATCAATTAATTGTTATAAGATGTTAAATCTTATCTTTGTTATTATTTCGGCAGATTATCGCCTTTAATTGATTAACTTGAAATGGATTGGCAATTAAAACACTTAAGATATTATGTCTAAAATCATTAATTAAAACGATCGGCTTGTCTTATTGTAAGTGTCTATTATAATAAGAAACCGATAATGAGAATTGATTATAATTAATCAATAAGTGATTTAATAGCAAAACTAAGAGGTAGGGATGATAATGATACGATGATGACGAGGAAGAGGATGAGGATGAGGATGAATATGAAGAGGATGATAAATAATAATAACAAAAACACATTAACATGATCAGCAAGTTGTTATCAATCACCGGAAAATCTAAGAAACTAATTATCATGATAATTGTTTGATTAGTTGATTAATTATTATGTTTGCCCACTTGTATTGGGATTAACGCTTTCTCCTGCACTTTTAATTATCTTACAACTTAAACGAGACAATTTAACATCAATCTCACAATTTGATTAATTCTCTCTCTCTCTCTCTCTCCCCTGTATCGATTGAGGCAAAAATAACAAGATCAACAATATGAAGATCACTCAATAAACAATTAAAACTAATTTTCATTTGTAATTATGATTAGATTTGATTTGGTTTCAAGAAAATGGTCAATTTTGGTCTTAACCACCATTTTGGCCTTAAGAGATTTCTATCCAGAATAAAGGGATTAACATTAGATTAAACGATTAACCCAAACAATCAACTAATCATTTACCACAAGTACCTTACTTTTTTTTTCACTATGAAAATAACCTAAAGGCTCATTTACCTTCATCACCTTTAGCACTGCCATTAGGGTCATTAAGATGGATGATGATGGTCAAGGTTCACCCCACTTGCAATTAAAAGTAAAACAAAAATCTGGTCAATTGTTTAATTAACCAAATCATCAACTAATCATGTAAATAATTGAGAAATAATTGTCACATAAATTATCAATATTAATAGTTTTCTCTTTCTTCGTCACAATTTTCGAGTTTCTTTTTCTTTCTTGGCTCATTTGCTTTTCTCTCATTTAATTATCTTAAATTGCCATTTCTTGCCAACATTGTCAGCAAACAAACTTAAATCCATCAATTGATAAATCACGAAAATTATCAACTTCGAAGATTAACAAATGATTAAATTTGCTCTGATTATAATTGATTAGTTTCTCCAAAGTGACAAAACCTTAAACTGAATCTTCGTTCATTAACAAATGTTACAATTAATTATAAAACAAGAACAAGTAAACGAGGGATTGGATTCAGTTCAAAAGAGAATATCGAAGCGTGAAGATCGAATATCAGAATCATAGATCAGAATAACATCATGATCATCAGGGTGATGTTAATGTTATTTACTTGTTGTACACTCAATGGGACACATGATTCCGGTTCCTATTTTTTTTGCTTCATTTTCATTGACAATCAATAATAACCACAAACAACAACAAACTTGCTGATTATGTAAACAAAGCGGAAATGAAAACAAATGAAATAAGAATCCACTAGGATGAGGATGATAAAAAATGGATGACCATGATAAGGAAGATCAGAATGACGAGTAAATCTCTCTCTCTCTCTCTCTCTCTCTCTCTCTCTCTCTCTAGCAAAGTAACAACATTAAATTGAAGTTAAGCCAGAAAATGAAATAACATGATGTTTTTCAGGTAAGATATTGGATTTTTTTTCTTGAAATTGAGACTGAAAATGATAAAATATTTCAATTCTGACTAAATGATCATCTCATGATTAACAGCAATTAATATCAGGTAAAGATCAATCTCTTGTAATAACAATTTAACGAACTGAATTAATTAATTGGTTAATTGTTTGAATGAATTTGTAGGAATCGATGAGTGAGAAAAAGTTTAATAAACCACCAGGAAAAAGAGGATAATCAAGTTAATCAATTTTCTATTGGAATTATGATCAATCGATTTGTCCGAAAAAGAGTATCTGATTCGTTTATTACTCTATTGGTATTAATATATTAATACATTTCTATTAAACAAAAAAAAAGAAAAAAAAATTAAAAGTATATAAGAAATTGTAACAATCAAATTAAGCAAATGGACGACAAACAACTAATTTGGTGGGTAATTATCGACCACCAGCTCACTAACTGTGATCGATTGATGATGAATTATTTTCTAATTGGTCTGTAATGAGGGTTTACTCATAAGTGGTCAAGGTGAGTTAAAGGTAAATGGAACAAAAGAAGAAGAAGAAGAAGATGAAAAGAAGAAGAAAAGAAAGAAAGAGTTTCGAATATTAATCTTACCTTTTTTACTTGAAAATCTTCTCTCTCTCAAAGTAGTAAAAGTTACCTCCCAGTTCCTCCCACCGGAGAATATTATTGGTTAGAATGTGTCTCACTCTTGTCGAAGGGAGTGGCTTCCATTTTATTCCCTTTTCTCTTTTAAGTGGCTTTGGTTTCGTTTACAAATACAATCATAACATTGTTTTCTCTTGTTGTTGCTATGTTAATGTTCATTTCTATGTTTACACTTTTCTGTTCTGTTCGTCGAAACTTTTAAAACATTGTAATCAACTTTTAACAAATATGGTGACCAATGGTATACCTTGTGTGAGTGTTTGTGTTGATGGTGATAGTAATGGTGATGGTAGCGGTGGATCAGGTTTACCTGGTGAACCAGCAAGTGCTAAGTCACCAATTGTTGTCAACGGTGATTTAAATGAAGGTGGTGGTGGTGGTGGTGGTTCAGGGTGTTCATCAGTTAAAGTACCCACACCAGTGGTTTCACCAGTTAATTTTTCCAGTGGATCAAATTTACTTCAGGTGGGGATTCCGTTTCCAATAGGATTAGGTCATGATCCACCTTTGCACCCATTTTATTCAGTTCACCCGAGAATTGGATTCGATTCAAAGGAAAATATGGAAGCGTGGAGATCACTTCCACCTTATGCCTCAATGTATGGTGGATATGAAGGAGCAATTCTAGCTGGTGGTTATCCGATGCTAAGAAATGGATATGATTTGAATGGTTCGAGACGGAAAAATGCCACTAGAGAAACGACCTCAACTCTAAAAGCTTGGCTTAATGATCATCGGAAGAATCCTTATCCAACTAAAGGAGAGAAAGTAATGTTAGCAATAATCACTCAGATGACTTTGACACAAGTGTCGACATGGTTTGCCAATGCTCGTCGAAGGTTAAAAAAGGAAAACAAAATGACTTGGTCACCTCGAAATCGATGTGATGACGATGAAGATGAAGAAGATGATAATTGTAAAGAAGGTGATTATGGTTCTCTAAATGAAAGTAGATCTAAAGAACCCGAACTACTTGTTGATGATTATGATTCATCTTCAGATTCAATTGAAAAGAAACGATTCAAACGGGATGAAACAAATTCTGAACCGACAATTTTATCAACTTATCCTGGCCATCTTGGTATTCATCATAATCATCATCATAATCATCATCATCAACAGCATCTTTTTAGCCAACGAATTCATCCACTTTCACAACAAATTTCATCGTTTAACCAAAATCAATTAGCTCATCAATCAGCTCATCAACCACCACATCAAGCACCAAATCAACCAGCACATCAATCAGCTCATCATTCAGCTCATCATTCATCACCATCACCAACAAACTCATTAACTTATTCATCCTCACCACCGCATTCGTCAACAAGTGTCACTATTGACCACAACCAGAACAGTAAATCGGCTTCTAATGGTCACGATCAACCCATAGGCACTTCAAAACCAAGGATTTGGTCAATTGTTGAATTAGCGACATCATCAAAATCATGTGAAAATGATTAACAATTTAAACTACTTTTTTTGCCCCTAAGAGATTTTTCCCCAAAATAAATATGGATGACACATTATATGAGTTTTTACCTTCTTATTTATTCATCTATTGATTAACAACCAAACTAATGGTAATTACAATTTACACCCAACAATTTACGATCAAACCATTTAGGTTTAATCAATGAAATCATTTTACTTTCCTTTCTCTTTTTTTTTTGTCTCACTTGTTTCAGAAAATGAATGAATCAAGTAAACCACTGAATTAGATTTAATTTAATTCATAGAGAAAATTGAGAAGAGAAAAAAAATTATTTCGAGTCAGGGGACATTCGGGATAAAGTTTATCATTTGTATCATGAAAAGTTCAGTGGATAGTGAAAAAGAAATCAATTTCATTGAGAGAAATCAAATGCTAACCTTTAACAAAATCGTGTCTAAGTTTCAAATATTGACCTGGAATTATAATCGTAATGTGATTAGATGGATTAACCTGAAGAAAACAATTTACGAATCAATTAATCATTACAATTGAAACAATTTAATCAACCGGATCAAGAATTCTCACCTATAAGATATTTGATTTCTTACTAAATGTTCATTAAAACTTTCCGAAAATAAGTTTTTTCTTTCAGTCGACAATTCGAACCAGAACTTTAACTTAAATACGCGAACAAAATGTCCAAACTATAAAATAAAAAATCTTCCCCTGGATTAAGAAAATATTTCAACCTTTTTAGAGTCAATGGATTAATCCAATGGATTAGCCGGTGGCAAATACAAACCAAACTGGGAAAACTCTGTGACAAATATAAATTTAGTTCAACCTAAAGGGTTTGACTGTATAATAAAAGGTTAATCATCATTTGCAATAGGTAAATGTCATGATATACAAATGTGTTTATTTCATTTTCTTAACACTAATGGTAATTTAATTTGTATCGTTAATACAATCAAAAAATCAATGTGATTGTTTGTAAACAACATTTCAGTTAATTTAAAACATTAACCAAACTAATTAGCTTATTGATAATCAACTAATAACATGAATAATATTGTAAAACATATAATATATGTGGTTTATTATACAATATGGTTCAATTATCACAGGTAAATTGTTGCTTTGGTTGTTATTGTATCTGATTGACAATCAATTTTCATTGTTATCGTAATCAAATATGGCCAAGTGTTTGTGTTGATGGTAGCGGTGAATCAGGTTTACCTGGTGAACCAGCAAGTGCTAAGTCACCAATTGTTGTCAACGGTGATTTAAATGAAGGTGGTGGTGGTTCAGGGTGTTCATCAGTTAAAGTACCCACACCAGTGGTTTCACCAGTTAATTTTTCCAGTGGATCAAATTTACTTCAGGTGGGGATTCCGTTTCCAATAGGATCCAGTTTTGCGACCATTTTATTCTGTTCACCCGAGAATTGGATTCGATTCAAAGGAAAATATGGAGATCACTTCCACCTTATGCTCGCAATAATCACATCATAATCATATGACGGCGACACGGTTTGCCAATGCCCGTCTAAGATTAAAAAAGGAAAACAAAATGAATGAATGGTCACCTCGAAATCGATGTGATTACGATTCAATTGGAAAGAAACGTTTCAAACGCGATGAAACTAATTCTGAACCAACATCCTATCCACTTATCCTGGTCATGTTGATACTCATCATAATCAGCACCATAATCATCACCAACAGTATCTTTTAACCAATGAATTCATCCACTTCCACAACAAATTTCATTATTAAACCAAAATCAATCAGCTCATCAGCCAACACATCAATATACATATATACAATATACAACATGTTTCAATTATCACAGGTAAATTGTTGCTTGTTTGTTATTCTGGCTGATTGACAATCAATTTTCATAATTAAATATGTTCAGATAAAAAATCTATGTAACAAATTATGTATGTTTAATTGTACCAATCAATTGGATGGACAAACTGTAACCTCAAACTTGCGGGTAAAAGTATTGACTGATTTGATTGGCAATCAAATACAATTGACAATCAAATCAAAGTGTGAAGCTTCAATGGATAAATAAGAAAATAGTTATCATAATAATAGTGCTTGAATCAATAGAGAGAGAGAGAGAGAGAGAGAGAGAGAGAGAGAGAGAGAGAGAGAGACTTTTCTCCTACTATCATCTGAATATCACCATGATCATGATGATCATCAATTCAAATGAAATGATATAACATCAATATTCAAAACTAAGACATTAAGACAATAATTTATTTAAAAAGCTGAGATTGTCATTACTGCATCACTTTGATATTTATGCAAGAAGATGTTGATGATAATTAGAATGATAAATAATCGATTTTGCATTTTCATCCTCTTGTTTGCTTCTCTTCTCATTCAAATTGATGCAAATTCCATTTTTCTTGCATAGACTTTTCATTGATGATGATGACAAACTCAGAGGAAGAGGAAAAAATGATCATCACTATTTATCATGATTATCATTGTTTACATGGTGATGGTGATGAGAATGCAAAATTTACATGTATTATCCTTATTGATGATCAATTCATGGTGTAATTCAGCATTCAATTCATTGGATAATAAGATGATACTGATGATGAGAGGGGAAAATAAACAAAAAAACATTTGCAAACATTTTTGCTTCTTCTATATCATCATCATCATCTTCAATCTTTTACTCTTGTATTTACTTTTCCATCCACTGAATGTTGATCTTCATCCCTATCAACACAAAAACAACAACTTTATCATCATCCTGATCATTTCCCTTTGCATTATCATCATCAAAATGAATCAATGTTTAACCCGGAAATTGATTGTAATGGCAATCAGGGCAATGTTAATGTTATTTACTTGTTATACATTCAATGGGACATATGATTCCGTTTCCTATTTTTTTTGCTTCATTTTCATTGACAATCAATAATCACAAACAACAACAAACTTGCTGATTATGTAAACAAAGCGGAAATGAAATAAGAGTCCACTAGGATGAGGATAATGACCAAATGGATGACCATCATATCTGTGAACATGATTATCACTTTACCTTTAAACCTGGGAAATTAATTGTGATTTAACATGATTGATAAACAATTTACCACCCACAACAATTTAGCCCCCTAGGCAATTTATCATGACATTTTATCATGAGCACAATAAACAACTCAGTTAACAGTTACTTTTTTTGCAACTTTCCAAAAGCAATAACATTTATCTTCATCATCATCATCGTTATAAGAAATGGCACATCAGAGTAATGATGATAAGGAAGATCAGAATGATGAGTAAATCTCTCTCTCTCTCTCTCTCTCTCTCTCTCTAGCAAAGTAACAACATTAAATTGAAGTTAAGCCAGAAAATGAAATAACATGATGTTTTTCAGGTAAGATATTGGATTTTTTTTCTTGAAATTGAGACTGAAAATGATAAAATATTTCAATTCTGACTAAATGATCATCTCATGATTAACAGCAATTAATATCAGGTAAAGATCAATGTCTTGTAATAACAATTTAACAATTCAAATCATGTTTGCAAGTTTAATGTAATTTTATTTATATTTTTTTACTCAAAAAAAAGATGAGCAAAAATTTTGTTCAAACTTTAATTCATCATCTTGATTTCATCTTATTTAAACTTTACCTTTTCCGGGTTATCAGATAAAACTTCATTCATTTAACTTACGATAATGTTTTTCATTCACTGGACCCAATTTTTGACATGTTGACCTTTTTTTTATATCTTATATAAACTGTTACCTCGATTTAATCAATTTGAGTAACTTTTAATTGCAATCATTTTGATTGTGAATCAGTGATTGGAGAAGAAGCTGAAAAATTTAGATTAAGTTTTGTAAGTAATTCGAGAAGTGATTCCTCTTACTCAGTTTATCTACATGATGATGATTATGATGACCGGTAATCGATTCCATCATCATGATCGTCCTCGTGGTTGAGTGTTTCAAGAAACAACAATAATCTGATTGTGGTGGTTAATCAAAAGCAATTAACTGATTGTAATCAACTTATAGTGTTGACAAGATTTGATTCCAGATAATTATCATGATCACAATTCATAAGAAAATAATCTTACTTTTTTTTCAGATTTTTTTCTTCTTCTTCTTCACAATTTAGTTGATATTTATTTTTCTCCATTGGTGTTTGGATGGACAGTAAACTGACCATTGGATCTATAATTTTTTACCTGAATTCGAATGTCGAAAAGCTTGATATTATTATGAATGATTATTTGGAACAAAAGAAAAATTCTGAATCATGGGAAAATTCAATTTCCATCATGATAACTTTTTCTCTTTCTGTTATTTTTTTCTTCAATGATAAACTTGTACTCAGGGAATTCTCGATTCTATTCAATTACCGATAAATTGTGATAAACATGATTCTTTTACTAGAAAATACCGAATGACCGAATTCATGATGACGACGATGATCATCATCATCATCATCATGAGCTGATAATGATATTAAATGAAACTCAGAATTCATTTGGAAAGGAGAGAAAATCAAACAGAATCAAATACCGTCTACATTATCCATTATTATTATTCTCGATCATGATAAAGTAAACAATAACTTAATCAAATTCAGAATTATCATGAAATCATTTTACTTTGCTTTCTCTTTTTTTTTGTCTCACTTGTTTCAGAAAATGAATGAATCAAGTAAACCACTGAATTAGATTTAATTTAATTCATAGAGAAAATTGAGAAGAGAAAAAAATTATTTCGAGTCAGGGGACATTCGGGATAAAGTTTATCATTTGTATCATGAAAAGTTCAGTGGATAGTGAAAAAGAAATCAATTTCATTGAGAGAAATCAAATGCTAATACAATTTAGAAATTAAATTAAATTCATAATCAAATCACATCGGAATAGAATCATATATATAATATATACAAAAGATTCTCAATTTTCGATAAAAAAATTCTCTATTCTCTTCTGTTAGAACTTTTTTTCCCCTCGAACTTGTTATCGATTATAATTGATAAAACTAACCTTTAACAATATCGTGTCTAAGTTTCAAATATTGACCTGAAATTACAAT